CTGCTCGACTATCCTGAAGCACTGAAGGTGGGCGGTCTTAGATTCACCCTAGAAAGTTCTTCCGAATGATTCATCTCAGGTCAACTGAGATGCATGGGGATTTGCTACGGGCTAATGTTAAGTGCGCAGCGGGCGCTTAGGATACAGACCGCTGCGAGAAATACAAACAATAAGAGCTTTGCAATCGTCTTTTTTCGTTGTTTTCAACTTTTGAAATCTTTTTCGTTAAGTAGTTTGAATCAGTCATGGGAGGACATAGGAGATGTCTTACATTTGTTGCAAACTCAACAGGATTCTTTGAAAAGTCGTAAAAGCCCCCTTGTGCCGAACCCGAAGAAAAGCATCCATCGAGTCAACTCAAGTCCAGCACCCGATAGCTTTTCAGAGAAGAGTAAAGGAATGATTTTGTATAGACTGGGCTCGGAATCATATGATGGTGTTTAGGCTCAATGGTTATTATACAATACCACTCACAGAACATGCAAAATTTCCGGGAAAGCGAAATTCCGGGAATTCCGCGAACTTCCGCGAAATTCGGAAAATTTCGCGAAATTCATGTGAATCACGCAAATAACGTAGGGCCATAACTTCTTTCCAAATATTCAAAATCCAAAAACAGCACTGTGTTCAGCTCGTCAATGCGAATCTTTTGATATACAGGTTATGTCCAATACTTTGTTTTCAGTAATCTTGAATTTGCATGCGGACGCCTCTTCGCATGGGTGTAACGCAACGAGCGCCACACATTGGAGATCGCCGTAAGCACCGTTCGATAGTACTTTTTCAATAGATTATCGTGCGCTAAACAGCAGCACGAAGACTCTCTTTCAAAAGAGAGAGAGAGCTGATAAACTCTGGAATAATCAAGCTGTTCCAAGTTTTACTAGCCGTAACTTCCTTCAGAGTGAACATTTTCGAAATCCGAAAGAAGCACTGTGTTCACCCCGTCATGTCGAATCTTACTGTGTATTTAGCATGCCCTTGAAATTTCGTTTCCAATTTTTCAAAATTTTCTGCGCGCGTATATTCACAAGGTCGCAACGCAGCGCACATCAAACATAAAAAACTCCAATAAGGACTGTTGGATTGTGCTGCTTTCGCAGATTATCGAGCGTTAAAAGTAACCGGAGAATCTTCTTGAAAAAAGATAGAAGAGCTGGTAATTCTGGAAAAATCGTGTTGTCTCAAATTTTGCCCGCCGTGATTCTAAAACGAGAAGCTCTACTGCTAAGCAGATGTGATTTTTGTAATCAGCAGGTCAGATAACCTCTATGAGTAAGTTTTCAAAGAAATTCGGGTGATTTGATTTTTTCTCGTTCTACGTACGCCCTGAAGCTGCCGGTGGGTTTTGATCAAAATGATCTTGGATTGTAAGGAAACTTCGCTCAAAGAAATTTTTGATTACTGTGTTTACTATAATCGTCTTTTGCGCGGAGTACAGAGTTTTCTAGCAGAGATATGGTGAGGGAAGTTTATCTAAGCCATGAAAGTTCGTAAATTCGCCTGCATTTTTCGAGCACCTCTTAGAAAATCTGCTTGCTTGCTTCTGCAGGTCAAATTCACTAGAAAGCGTGCTGTTTAATGGTGCATGCATCTGGCTTCAATCTGTAGCATTGCCGAGTTACGGGCCTACTCACGCCCTCATGAGTTTTGCCCGAAATGTAAAAATCGCCTGCTTAGTAGAAATTCCACCTAAGTGACTGTAAGACACGCGAATTTTATGTTCAAATCGAAAGATCCTTGAGATCTTATTGTATTGGATATGGTGGTTGTGTGTGCCTGAGCCCTTAGGTGAATATCAAGGCAGATTCGTGGCTAGAGCTCAGACCTATTTAATTACTTCCAGTACTGCAGGATAGATTCCTTAAGCGAAGTGAACACAAAAAACCTCTTTGAGCGAAGTTTTTTAACAATCCAAGGTCATCGACATTTTTAACAAAACCCACCGGCAGCTTCAGGGCGTAGAACGAGAAAAAATCAGATCACCCGAATTTCTTTGAAAACTTACTCATAGAGGTCATCTGACCTGCTGATTACGAAAATCACACCTGCTCATTTTAGAATCACGGTGGGCAAAATTTGAGACAACACAATTTTTCCAGAATTACCAGCTCTTCTATCTTTTTTCAAGAAGATTCTCCGGTTACTTTTAGCGCTCGATAATCTGCAGCAGAACAATCCAACATTATTGAAATCTTCTATGTTTGATGTGCGCTGCGTTGCAACTTTGTGAATATACGCGCGCAGAAAATTGAAAATAATTGGAAACGGAATTTCAAGGGCATGCTGTATAAAGAAAGATTTGACTTGACGAAATAAACACAGTGCTGCTTTCGAATTTCGAAAATGTTCATTCTGAAGGAAATTACGGCTAGTAGAACTTGGAACAGCTTTAGTAGAGCTTGGAACAGCTTTATTATTGAGTTTATCAGCTCTTCTATCTCTTTTGAAAGAGAGTCTTCGGCTGCTGTTTAGCGCACGATAATCCATTGAAAAAGTACTATCGAACAGTGTTTAAGGCAGACTCCTATATATGATGCTCGTTGCGTTACACCCATGCGAAGAGGCGTCCGCGTGCAAATTCAAGATTATTGAAAACAAGGTATTGAACACAACCTGTACGTCAAAAGATTCGCCTTGACGAGCTGAATACAGTGCTTTTTCGGATTTTGAGTATACTCATTCGTAAAGAAGTTATGGCCCTGCGTAATTGCGTGATTCACATGAATTTCGCGAAATTTCCGGAATTTCGCGGAATACCCGGAAACTTTGCATGTTCTGTGAGTGGTATCGTATGTATAAAGAGATGATTTTGTATACACCGGGTTCAAAATCCTATGATGGTTTATAAGCTCAATGGTTATTATCTTCGGAAAGTTATGAAGTATTGCTTTCAGAGCTACTTTAAAGGTTTCATGGTTTATACAGTCTTGCCATAGTGCTCTAGTATCTCTTCTTTGCTCTCATGATATCTAGCTAGCGTCAATGAAAACCAACGCTATTTTTGCTGCGATATTTCAATTTCTGCCGCATTCCTTTCTCATTTGTACTCTCGAATGAGCCGAGAGTCCACATTTTCTGAGAAACCGAGACTATTGGTCTACTTACCTCTTCAGTTATTCTGCTTGACCCTCTTTGGATCTGTCTCAATTATGATTGGAAGAAAGTGTGAATTTGTACGCTATAATTCATTTCATTACTCTCTCTACAAGGCTCCACATTTTGGAGGTCAGCTGAAAAGGAGCATTGTATTATTCGCACCCTTCAAGTGCGCACAAATCTAAGGTCCATGTGCATGATCATCCCTGCGGAGAGGAGCGGCGTCCTCAATGATCCCCAAGCGTTGGCCGTCGGCCTTCAAAGGAGACACCGCCGCAGGGACGCAGCAGGGACTTTCACGTATATGGGCCTAAAAGGCTTCAATATTTCATGTATGAAAATCTCATGTTTGCTATCTAGGAGTCGTAGCCAGTAGGACTGAGTTACCAAAATCTCAAAAAAGATTGTGCCTACTCCTTTCCAATGAAAGGAATGTTTACAAAGATTTATTTGAACAAATATTGTGGATTAGATCGAATCCACTTTACAAAAACCGTTACAGTACACTTTACAAAATTCGATAAAATGATAAAATTGATATCGATCGATAACGAAAAGTAGTCTACGACACCCGCTCCTACAAGAAGTGTATGTGTGCCAAGTTTGGGGAGACGGCCCTTCTGAACCGCTAGCATTAGCAGCCTAATTACTGCGCGCTTCTGATTAGCCGGCGCTGCCGCGACGCTCGGTTAGGCGAGAGCTATGCTGTCGTTATAGACATCTGAATTGGACTGCAAAGGCATTCTCATGATAAGAAAAACTAAAGAAGATTTCGAGTTTCCTATGAAACTCAAAAATGTTATACGTGGGCGGCTTAGGTAAATTCTTCAGCTTACACGTGCGGACTTTATGGTGTTTTGAAAAGTGGGAAGGGCGAAGAAATCACGAAAGGCCAGTAAAAAACATGCAACTTTTCCAACTTTTTGTCTTCATAAATCAAACATCGTCACTATCATTATTCGTGTGCCTCGCCTGCTTTGAAATGCTTAGAAATATTTGAAAACTCTGATAGATTATAAGAAAGGCGAAGTAATTATCGCTCCAGGGCAGAGTAATTAGCGCTAGGGCGAAGCGGTTCAAAAGGGCATACACCCCCAAGTTTGGTCCAGATCGTTTCAGAAATAGAAATTTCTACAGGGTGTCCCAAAAAAATTTTAGCACTGTTTGATCGTTAATAACTCCCTTGCTTTCAAGTCTTTAGCCGTGCTTCAGGTACCATTTTGTAGAGCGAGGATAAACTTAGATTTACAGTATTGAGCGAATCATCTAACTTTCCTCGTTACTGTAGAATTACGGTAGGAAATTTGACAAGGATTTTAAGCCATTAAAGCCCATTTTCTGCTTTGAAACAGAGCCAAACAAGCCAAAATCTCTTGTACTATGGTAATGAAAGCCGCTAATTTCGTATATGAAATTTTCATTTCATTATGATACTTCTTTTCAAAGTTATCCTAGGTAAAGTGTAATAACTGACTTCCCAGTATGTGTCAAAAATGTGATTACACCATCAAAAAAGTTGAAATCACTCGCAAAAAGTTGTGTAGTAAAATCAGCGTGCGCAAAAACCCTAGTACACGATTTTTCAGAATTTTTGAAAAAATTTTTGTTAGAGGGCATATTTCATGACGGTTCCACATGCTGGAATTTCCTACCGTAATTCTACAGTAATCAGGAGCGTTAAATGATTCGCTCGATACTGTGAATCTAAGTTTATCCTCGCCTTACAGAGTGGTACCTAAAGCTCGGCGAAAGACTTGAAAGCAAGGGAGTTATTAACGATCAAACAGTGTTAACATTTTTTTGGGACACCCTGTATTCAGAACATACCTACAGACGTACAGACGCACACAAACAGACATACAGCTATATTTGAACAGATCGTTCAGACACTGCGCAGCAAAAGCCATATACCATACGATGTCACAATAGAAAGCTCTGTACGTTCTGTCGGAGATAATCGCAAATTTAATTCGCTGCAGATTTTCAATTTAGCGTGGCACAGATTTTCCAAAAATTTACGCTCAGATCTCATCAGATATAGACCATGTCTTCTTAAACATGGGAAGGTCGAATCTTACAAATAGGCAATGCGACAAGCAATCTTCTTTATTGTAGCTCAACTTATGTGGCTGAGGTTCCCGTTGTGCTCGGATTAGACTGCATGAGTTTTCTGACTTGCTTTGTACGAATGATGGAATTCTTGGAGAGCGCTTTGACCGCTGCGTGTGTCATCGCTTCTTGTCGACGCTGCTGGAGGGCTTCGCGGTACTGCACTGCAAGCAGTAACTTAGCAGTACGACTTTCAGCACTCATTATGTATGTCTCTAACAATAACAAGTGTTCAGTTAGTGGTACGCTGGCAGTGTACTTGAGCTAAAGAAGAATGTGCCTGTGCACGGTAGCAACAGGAAGAAGGAAGATACTCAATCACTCACAAGACTAGTTGGGTTTACTGGTTTCTGAAGCAATACGCTCGCATCATGCATATTATAACTTCTGCTTATTCTTTCCTCCTACTGTGCATACTTGTAATTGTAGTTCAATGCGCAAATGTAGCTATGTCTCGAGCTTCTTATATCTATAACATCCAAAATTAGAGTTCGCTGTTTAGACAATGCGTCCTCCATACAAAGTAGGTTAAGGTTTGCAAGTAGCACGTTATGCTACCTATAAAGGAAACAAACTGATCTAAGACTGCGAGTACAGTAAGAGCCTTACATTTTTGGCAGAAAATGCAAACCTGCCAGCTCGCACGTTCTTGGTGTTTTTCTCTTCATTTTCGAGGTAGGATAGATTCATAAACCAAACGAATCGCATTCGAGAGTTTCATCCATCCATGCTAAAATCGTTGCGAAGGCATCACTGCGGGATAGCGCGAGCTCTACCTGCGGTTGCGCTCCACTCTTAGCAGGTTGCACTGATATAGAGTGCGAACAGGCAAATCAGTGATATAGTGTTGTGAGCAAGATCAGATTACAAGAAAGGTAACACCTTAATCACGCTCTACTCGGTCTCCGCCCTAGAAGTGTGTCGTGACATTTACTCTTTTTTTTGTTCTGTCAAAAATGCCGGATTCATATCTATCGTAAGCTTCGCGGAAGTCTTTCGCCTCCAATGACTCTATGGTCGAGAAGACAATGACGGGAAGGGAGACAAACATAGGATGTTTTCACCAGCTGTCAAAAATAAGATAGTATAAGCGAGTCATATGCAACTCAATGTGAGTCTGTACATTGCGCGCTCAGTCGATGACACGATGGCACCTTACCAGTAATTCTTCAGTCAAAACATTCCGCAGATCGAACTAGGGAGGTGTGTACAACAAGTCAGTCTCTTTTCGATCTCATAATCAAAACAGATTGGAAACAATAAAAGAAGATTTTTGTAGATTAGAAGGTTTTCTTATCTATCTTACTAGTGAAGTAGCGTGCGTTGTATGCAGTACGCACATTAAATTACAAATGATTCGACGACATTTCTCGTCAAACATACCTGAGTAGATTATGAGCAGACCACCCCAAGTGATGCTCCAGAACCATCCCACGAGGAAAAATGTTATTGTGAAAAACTGGCTGATTCCGATCATCAGGTTCACTACCTGAAAAACAGTGCGAAGAGAGTTGCCCTATGATATTTTTAAGGAAATACAAAGGTGTAAACAATCACTTGGAGAAAAAGGTAGATCAACTCCAATTTTCACGTTGATCTGGGTTGCTTGTGTAGACTGCGTCATATAAATTTACAACTTCTCTCAAGACTAAAACCTATCAAAATTAGTAGCAATGTGGAAACTAAAAAGATTCAAACTAAGACCATTGGCCAGAACATTCTTTCGATAATAGAGAAGAGCCCCAAAAGCGAAGATACTGGGAACGTTACCCCTCATAAAAAAATGAAGGTTGTTTCTAAGTCAGAGAAGAAATAGATGTGAACAAAACAGCAGAGGCAAAAAAAGCTGTTGAAAACCGAGCAAAAACGTACAATAATTTGAAATCCTTCATTGAAAGGTGTTTTGAATTACAGGTTTTTGCTCCGTCAGCTCACAACTGCAAACGACGTAGAGTTTTTATACAGTTATCTCAAGAGCAACCATGTTTCGGAAAGGGAGATTGCTAAAAAGAAGATAAACAAAGAAAAGACTATATAAAAACAAGTTTTGTTGCTTTTTTATTTCGTTTCAAACTAATGCCACTCTATTTGTGATGCGTCTTTCTCTATTTGTGATGCGTCTTTAAGTTTTTACCGTTTTTCTTATCGTGTAGGTTTCAGGAGTTGTCTGCATTGTTCTGCTCACAATTTGAGAAACCTCAAAGCTTAAAAAATGGGTACTCATATTTAAAAAGGTCTTTGAAGATGAACTCACTTTTTGCAGCTTTTCACCGGATAATTCGCTGTCTAAGAAGAGCAAGCTCGGCAAACTTGTCTACATTATAGACAAAGCAAGATCTATCAAATGCGAGTAAAATCCGCGAAAGAGACACAAAGATCAACAAGAACTTTTGAAAAAACTGTTTTTTCCAGATTTCTCTTTTAAATAAAAAATGGGGCTAAGCGACGTTGCCAGCGTGAGCTACAATATGATACAGTTTGCTAGAATTGGCCCAGAACAACGAAAAAAAATACCAAAGCCTCGTGCCCCACATTTGGGGTAGCAAGGTAGCGCGCAACACGTAGAGGCACAGACGAGCAGAGGAGTGAGAGAATCGACGGGACATTTGGCTGTGGTTGATGATCTCGCATCTTGACGAGATTTTGTAAGATTATGGCCCGTAGTAATCCCCCCAAAAGTCGTCACAACGTAAGAAGGCGCCGTCGTGACCGCCCAAAACGAGTCACAATTTGGGCATGACAATGCGTTGGTCGCCGCAAAATCGGAGAGCTTGACCGACATCGAACCTCCAGTGAACAATGTGAGCAGCGCGCACATCCACTGTGTGAGTGGAGTGGAGTGTTAACAATCCTATATCGTTAACGACCATCCTGTAAGTACTAGCTAACAAAGCTAAACAGGGTCACTTCCAGTATGAGGAAAGTAACGAGCAGTTTCCCTTTTGAGCTCTTCTGCAAGCTTGAAATTGCCTACTTGTAATGTCGAACTACCTCCAATGAATTAACCTATAGGATAATAACGGTCAATGTGTAGTTAGTGCAGACAGTGCAAGGGCACGGTCTCGTAACAATGCGCTAAAAATTCGAAGTTTAAATCTTCCTTGAGGTAAATTTTTTGCCGGGCGGTGGGTTGGACACGCTAATCTAATTTATTGAAAAATGTAAAACAGTGAGGTACTATCTATCAAGGAAACAGCATGCAACTAAATCTCTTGAAATGTGTGGATAAGTGAACGTTGCAAGAAAAATACCAATTTTCTGCGCAAATTAGTTCATTCTGTTAGCCAAGCCATTTGTTTCCTTACTTAGACAGAACGAAAGCAATCGCCACGCAGCCAACGAATGGCAGAGTCAAGATACGTAATCAAAACGGCATAATTCGTAAGAAAGTATCAAAATAAGACATTCAAGAGAATATCAGTGAACAAATCAGCCGCTTTTGAAAATCAGGCAGGAAAATCAGAAAAACTGATAAATGCATTCTAATAGAAGAGAACTCACCTTGTTAGGATATTGAAGCAAATTACAGAATAAACTTTAGCGAAAAGTGATTGCATTATGTCCGACCGCGAACGCGCGGATCAGTTGTTCATATTGTAATTGGCGGCAGTCGGTCCTTTGCGTGCATGTACGAACAGTGGGCGGCACCACCGTTCCGGAAGACGCTAGTCATCTGTCGACACCACGACCTCGCTGGACCACTTCACTCAGGACCCACTATTCCGCGAGGTCTGCATGATGAGCAGCTGGTGCTGCCTTGGTGCACCAGACGCCAGCCGGTTGCCGTGTTACGCCAGGCATTGCTTTCATCACGACGCCTATCGCTTATCATGAGCCGGCAGCAAAAAGGCACGAGAAGGGCATTTGCCGCGCTCCAAGAGAGTCATAACACGACATAACAATCATTCTGCAAAGAGTAGCCCAGCAGTTTCGTGCGCGGCTCTCTGAGCAAGATTCAAGCGCAGTTTTTCGTTTCTATTGGTCCCAACAACTTTAGGGAGCAGTTGAGACTCATTCCTAGCTTTAGAAAAGCTTTATTGGGAAACGTTTTCTTTATTTCCAGGAGGATGTTCACAAAAACATTGTTTTCAGCAGAAAGAAGGGAATAAAACTATGTGTTCTGTGTTCTTATGTTGCTCAAAGTGAAGATTATCAGGGCAGACTCTATGTATTGAGATGGACGGCAGATAGCATATTGAAGTTTCACTTCAATGTTTTTTTTTCTCGAGGCTCCATTTTTTACCCTGCTTCACGACTGCGTTATGCTTCACTGGCCTTGACGCATAACCGGCATTCATTTTTCACTGTTTTTATTTGCATGGAGCGCAAACTGAAACTCACGTTTTGACCGCTTTTGAAAAAGTACATTTTCAAAAGGCAGTCTAATCTGTGATCTTCCCTAGCTAGGGCGATTTTACGCTAATAAGGGGACTTTCCGCAAATGTGCAGCATTGTTTTTGAATATTTTGTCAATAAGTTTGCTCGATTGCAACCTGATACTTAGCGCAACAGATTTGTAAGCTCCACAGCAGCTAAGCATTAATCTGAAAGTTGTAGATTTGCATTCATATGCCGCCAACAAATCAATCTATGAAGGGGAAAGTCTGATAAAGTGGTGAGCTAATGGTGAGCTTTACAAGCATTTTTCGAGGCAAGGTGTACTTGGCTCACTCTCTTCTTCCTCATAGGCTTTTCGCGATGTTGCAGAATAGCTTCGACAGCTATGCTGCGAATGGCTGGAGACAGAACATTTTTGGTATACAATAAGCGCATTTTTTGTGCTGAAAAACAAAATGAAGTCGATCCACTATTGCATAATCTAGCTAAACATTTTACAAGGAAAAGCACTTGACGCAATTACGGAACCGGGGAACAAAATCCTAATGGGGTATTGTGCTGCCTCCAAATAATCTCTGATTGACAAGCTTTTCAAGTATCTCCCCTTTTTAAATACCACACTAAGCCCGGCTGAGCGTGGCGAAAAAAATAATTCGATGCCAGTTAAGCTAGCTGTTGCTTACCATGGCTTGAAGTCGCCTGCCCTCCTTTCCATTGATTCTTGGCTGGCCAAGGCAAAGCCCAATTATTCCAGAGAGTATTGTACCTGAATGATGGAAATGTCAAAAACTAATCTTAGCTCAGTCCTAGTGAAAAAAGCAAAGGAGATTGCGATTGAAGTAGATGCGAAAACACCTGTTCCCGGAAAAATCACATTCATCGTCATGCATACTAGCGCGACTGGAATTGGCAAGAAGGGTATTGCCTCATGCATTAGTGTTAGATCATTTGTAGGTATGTTTACCTAAAAAACGTGTAGTACTAGCTGTGAAATTGATGCTCTGCATATTACCCTGTCGCCTGGCCTTAGTCTTTCCTGATGTTCATCTTCTTCAACTACAGCGGGTTCATCCTAAATGAATTATTAGGTTGGTGCAAAAGTAGTGCGCGCTTTGTGAGTTCTCAATTTGACGTGCTATAACTTTCTAAAAAATCCATATTTGTTAATGCGATAAAGACCATCAAAAGCAGCAAACCTTTCTCAATACAGCGCACATCCTTTTACAATCATATCACAAACGGGTATAAACTTATCGACTAATAAGCAAAAAAAGTTCTTTTTAAAACCTCGTTTTTAACCGATTATAACTCCTTTCAAAATTAGTTAGTATGAATGCTAAGTAGCCTATCTTGTAGATGCAAGCCAGTAGTACAAAGATGGAAAGAACTCATACAAAGAAGATTTTCAAAAAGAAAAATATTAAAATCCAAAATTGTCCGCTTTTTGGACATTTTTTCGCAGGCCTACAAATCCCAACATATGGAGTTTTTTCAATTTCTGCGTAATGAACAGCTACACAATTAAAAACTGTCAGTAGGGGGCCCGCCCTTACGTTTACAGAAATGAGCAAAGCTTTGGCGATTGCCCTCTTCACAAGAATATTATAGGCCACATAATGATCGAAACGAATACCCTTGTCGAGACGCAGATATCTGTTACATATAGTTGCCAAACTTCCAAAAAATGCCTTCATTCGCGCTTGAAAACTGGCCAGAAAAGTAAATGCAATAAAATTCTGATTTCGAATGCGGTTGCATGAAGCTTTGCGAATTTTTAAGAAATGTGGCTAAAAAACTTGTTTCAGTAACCATTAGATAGAGCATGAAAGGAGCTTCTTGATGTTATGTTAAGTCTTTTCCAAAGAAGGGAGGTCGATGGATAAAAGTTGTCCGCTAGAAAAACGCGCATTACTTTTGCGCCAACCTAATAAAAAAGCACAAGGGCAAACCGATTTATTTTCATGTAAAGATCTACTCAACAATTGTCATGGACCACCGAAAATGGGCTGTACTTTGATTTGCATCACTAATGCTTACATCTAAAGCCATACCAACAAAAATCATCGCGATGCGTTTGTGCAATGGACGACTATCATATCCCTATGCTATGCATGCCGGCAAATCATGCATGTGGTCATGCCAGCTTTCCCTCTCGACGGAACGCTGACCGTGTTTTCCTAGGCCATAGTTACTCCACCGATAATCTTTGCGATTTGGCTATTATCTAGCGAGATCGTGTCTCCAGTTCAAAATTAACGATGGGCTATATCGCTGGAATTGATATGCTTTTCTGAATGTTGTTCGAACAGTTCTTTTCTCTTTCAACCTCTCCTTTTGCGGATGTTGAATGTGATGCAGATTTCCTAAACTGTACTTCCATGTTGTGATGCGCTTCAATTTTGATTCGTGCCATCAGTCTTGATGTAATTGTTCGCAACTCGTAATTAAAAACATACATAGTATCTAGACTGAATGTCGCAAGAAATTAGCGACGTATGGAACCGCAGCTACACTTCAAATAATCGGCTTTGCATCCTGTATCTAATGAGGAAAGTTGAGCGTACGCGAGAAACTAATATGAATTGTTGATGTTGAACGTAGTGGTGTCGAAAAATGGCAAAAACTCTGCAAATGTAAAGAAATCAGCTGAATACTGCTTTTGGATGGCAAAAAAACGTCTCAGACAGTCGACGGCGTACCTCCGGAGCAGAAATGGCAGAGCCGCGGGGTGTTCCCAGCGGGGGATTGCCACTTGTGCTCCGGAGCCTTCCTATTTTGTGCTCCGGAGACCTCTCAATTGTGCTCCGGAGCCCTCCCATTTTGTGCTCCGGAGGTGTCCCAAACACGCCGTACCTCCGGAGCGCAAATCTCTGCTCCGGGGCTCTCCCAAATCTGGCGAGCAGAGATGGCGTACCTCCGGAGCAGATCCGGAGAAGGGCCCCATTCGCCTGCTTGTTACGTCACCGTGACCTAAAAGTAGGGACCTCCCCCTCGCCCCGCTCTCAATGGTCAATTGGGTCCTCCGCGGCTCTGCCAAATTTCGACTGTCCTCCGGAGCTACGGCACCGACTGTCTGAGGTAGAACGAGTGCTGAGGTGTGTGTATTTTCCAATTAATGCTGTACAGGTAGGCATGCCGAAAAAATGCGACCAGCGATTCAATAGTCACGATTTCGTCGCCCTCATCATGAAATTCCCCGAATCAAGACAATGAAATTGCTGCACTATGGCCAGGGCTTAAGCGTACATTGTGCACGTTTATACCTTAGTTTTAGGCTGAAATACTTTCGTGAAGGTGACAGAACATTTGACATGCTTTGCCACATCACTTATCTTCGCAGCAGTGGCGTACCCAGGATTTCGGCTCGGGGGGGGGCGCGACAAAAATTTTTTTCTAAAGAAGTTGCGTGGCGTTAGCCACGCACTCCGAAAAAATTTTTGGGGTGCTTCTCAAAACTTTTGCGGGTCCCCGACCCCTAAAATCTGGAAAAAGGAGGCGTGGCGTTAGCCACGCCCCCGGAAAAAAATTTTTCACAAGGCTAATTTGATTTTTTAAAAATTTTTGAAAATTATTTTAATTATTTACAAAAATAAACAAGTCACTTGCACATTTTTATAACCCATATAAGTAAATTTCAAAAATTTCGCGACCCATTCTCGGGGGGGGGGGGGCGCGCGCCCCCCCCCCATCCCCCCCTCGGTACGCCACTGCTTTGCAGATTCATGGAAAAACGTACGAACATTAACACAAATAACTATAAGTGTTACGGGTGAACCAAAACAAGCAGGTTCAGTTCACACATGGTTGTCGTTCTTTTTTATTCTCTCATTTCGTAATACAAACTTTATCGTAAGAACGGACATCTGAGTCAGGTCACATTTGCAATGTTGTAATTTCTTCCACCAAAGTGATAACTTGAAACATGATCAATTCGTCGTGATTTTGTTTTGTAGATAAAACTGATGCTGTGACCTGCACTGCATAATCTTTTTGATTAAGTAGGAGAACTGTGAAAGTATTATAATAACTGATTACGAGAATGGTTTCCAAAAATGGTTAACCAGTACGTATTCTTTTATTTTTTGAACATGCTACAAGAAAAAAAAGTAAAATTCCCATTACTTTGTCTCTTAGATGAACTATTCTGTATAAAAAGTTTCTTTTGCATCGATAAAGACTTTCTGGGATAACTTCAGGAAAGAACAGTAATTGCAGCGTAGATGTTAAAAGTTTTTTCATGACAGAGTAAAAGTACTTGGAAGTACTTACTTACTGCTTCAAGATACATGCGACATATGTGCACCACTTTATGAGTTAAGAGAGCGCAAAATCATCATGAAAGTTAAAGAGGCTGCTTTCTTTTCTCCACAATGTATTTAGGAAATCAAGGAATTTTTGCTTATCAATGAAACCCATAAATTCAATCCAAACTGCGTGATCTGATAAACCAATAGAACATTTTGGTAGACAGATATGGAAAAGGCTGCATGGTACATTGAATATTTAACTTATCCATTGCCTTTTTTTTTACAACCGAAGGTCTTTAATAGCAACTTCGTACACGCACAGACGGTTTCATCAGACTTTGCTAACAGCGCTCAAAAGCTCTCACAATCAGACGCTACAAAACTCTCCATATATGCAGGCAGCTTTGGCACTGGAGGGTAAGTTTCGGAAATTGAACAATAAACGGCTGCAACTGTTGACATTTATGGATATGATTATGATTCGATCACGCTTACATAGCTATACTTGCTACATCTATACTACTCGACACGGTACGCATATAGGGTAGCAAAAACATAGACGTCAAATTCTTGCTTGTAAAATATGTCGTGTCAAACGAAGTTCTACGAAATTATTTTCGCATGCGAAAAGAGGATATGTTGATGTGCTACTCCTACAAGATGGGTCTTGCATGCATATAGACTTCTGCACCTCGACTTTGAACTATTACGTCGAAGGCTATGCGAAAGATGTATACGTTGATACGTCGATGGCTATGTGAAGGAGTAAGTTCCAAGTTTAGCGATGTATTTGAAAAGGCTTCAGCTACAAAAGCTACGTGAAGAAGGCATTCTGCACTTTCTGGCGCTTTTGGGCTTTTCTGACTTCTCTTTTGGTGAACTGAGATTGTGAAGTGAGGGACCAAGGCAGTCACGAATCATGCATAATTAAATTAGTTCTCTTTAAATCTTTTAGAAACTGGTGTGATTTTTGAAGTTGCAGTAACTATGTGGCCTCTAATGTTTCGAGAACGTTTCATGAAGAAAACAAACTTGGTTAATACTTACTCTATGTAATAATCCCTCTTTCTGTCCCAATTCAATAATACGCTGTAAATTGTCCCTTATAAATCTCCATCTTTTAAACCTTTCCGGTTTAATAATCTCTGCGGAAGATGACGTCGCTGAGTTTGTCGCCGAATGTATCGTCGTAACCATGGCCACTGCCTGAAAATCAAGCTGTAACTTTATATGGTGTGATTTGGGAATACTGGGCACATTGTTTTCAAAATTAGCTTTTGACACTCAAGTGATGCAACTCTAGCAATACTTGATAGGGGCAAAAGATAATATTTAGAGATACCAAACAATCAAGAGCTTAAGCCCTCGGACAGAGTTCATGCGATTTGATCGTCGCGATTCAATCGCCGCGATTTCCATACATTTTCATTTTACATTCAAAAATTTCAAGCTGGAAAAGTATCACAGCCGAAATACAAGCTGGTCGGCATGCAATCAACTCGTAACAGTCGTCTTGTCGCGATTGATTTGCGACGATCAAATCGCGTGAACTCTGCCCGAGGCCTAAGACTGGAGAATATGACGGAGCAATTTCGTGCGTTTGACAGCTTAGCCTTCACCACAAAACTTCTAATTCATGCTTGGCTGATCACATTTCGGAAAGTTACTTGAAATGCAAACCAAAAAAACGATTTCTCCTTGAGGTTTGGAAAAACTTGCTTAGTCTCAGGTCAGATAAATGTTGTAATTACTGCAGGCTTATGTCGTCCATTCTCTATCCTAAAATATGGTGCAAATTTCAAATTTCAGGCGCTTAAAAAAGAAACTCCACTTTGCAGGTCCTCAAAAGTGATGTTATCGAGCATTATTCTTGAGAGATTTATTAAAAGAGGACAACTTTGAGTTAGTGAGCAACTGCACGTACGCATGTATGCAATGACTGTGACATTTGCAATGAGTACTTCCTGCGAGTTAAGTTTTAGTTGGACAAAATATTGTTAGTAGGTGATTGCATAGCAAGCAGTTTTCTTTTCAACAGTCTTCGTTGACTAACAAATTCTCTCAATCCTTTACAAATTCTCGTATTTTGTACTGATCCATTGTATATAAGCAAGACACCGCCTTCTTCTTATCAAAGGTGTTAAAATACTGTAAGAAATTCGCTCCATTCCTTTTTTTGTCGAACCGCATCAATAAGGAGCCCCGAATTCATGAAATTTGCAGCGGACAATTCAACTTTGTTTGGTAACGTGACCTGTAGTGCGGAAGTATTCCTCTCGAAACTCCTCTCGAAGGCACTTTAACGTCTACCAAGGACCAGCCTTGGTATAGAAATCATTAAGCTTATCTTGCGCTGAGCAAATCAAAGCTAAACTCGCTTGGCTTTCTTTTTAAGTGCACCTTCATGCGCGACCGCACTTGTGCGCGAACAAATTACGCTGACGTCAAATTTAAAAAGCTGTGACTTTTGCAATGAACAGCAGCGACATCGATTACTTTTGGAAAATATTCGTGGGTCCTGTTGATCAAACTACTTACTGGAACAGATGCAGACAACTATTGGAGGCTTACTATTTTCCAGGAACAAAACACTTGAGCAGATACCGCAGCATAAAGATCAATGAGACCACTCGTCCTTTTTTTTTAAAAACATATGCATTGGAAGCAAACTGCCTTGAGAAACAAACTGAAAAAAGCAAGAAACGAAACAAACTGTCTTACGTGTGCTGTTCACTTTGCATCTTTCCTTCTTACCATAAGCGAGAAATCTTCTTTCAAAGTTTCATCGAGCATTCCTTTTAGCCGCTTCAGAGTCAATAGAGTTATAGAATAGAGAAAGTAAAATAAACAGAAGGTAAACTTTGATGAATGAGGAAGAAGAGATCTTCCAAATGATATCAAGGTCTCATAGTCGTCCTAGGTAATTTGCCCTGTCTTGGACGAAATTGTCTGAAAAACCACTGTTCTGTGTGTAAGCCAACGTCATGTCACTAACCACTCAGGCAACGGATAGGACCCTCCGCCGGAGAAATGGCAGGGTCGCGGCGTTTCCCCAGCGGTGGGTCTCCCATTTGTCCGGCGGAGCCCTCCCATTTCTGCTCCGGAGCCCTCGCATTTCTGCTCCGGATACCTCCCATTTTCTGCTCCGGATACCTACCATTTTCTGCTCCGGAGCCCCCCGATTTTGTGCGCCGGAGCCCCCCAATTTTGTGCTCCGCAAGTCTGCCGCGGCATACTGTAATTAGCCCTAATTAAAGGCAGCTTCCAGGCAGATCTGGACCTATGGGGCTTTTACATGGAAAGTACTTTTGGGGCCCTAACTAAGCCACTGCCGAAGCAGCAGCTCAGGTAGTGCTCTAATGGCGGAGATATTCCCCTCGAAACAGACCCCCGCGAACGTATTCGCATAGATTCATGGCAGTTTCGCGCCAGGATCCACGCTTTGCGCCATGAATCCATGCGAAACACGGTCGCGGGGTCCAGTTTCGAGCAGAATATCTCAGGCGTTACAGCACTACCTGAGCTGCCGGTTGGGTAGTGGCTTAGTTAGGGCCCCAAAAGTACTTTCCATGTAAAATCCCCATAGGTCCAGACTTGCCTGGACGCTGCCTTTAAGCTCCAAACCCCAATTTTGTCTCTAAACCCCACCCAAATTAGCCGAATATGACCCCCCCCCGGGTAGGAGTTCAGCGCGACCCTCACCCCGTACTCTCACCCCGTACTCTACCCCCTTCCTCTCACCCCTAGCGTTTGTGGATAGAAGATAGAAGAAAGAACGAAGAGATAAGACATTTATTTCAAATTTTTCAAACTTCTTCGAAAAATCATCTTATATCGTTAATCATTTCACACCCACTGGTGTAAAAGAATGAACCTTAGAATAGATAGGCTTGATTTTGAATTGAAGACCAATCAATGAAAATATTAGACATTTTGGATCCTGGATAAGGTAGTAGAATGAACGCAAGCCATCAGGACCCTGAATGATAATTCATTAGACTGGTGAATTCCCGATCAAGAAAATTGAGGTAGCACTGTTTTCAAAAGTAAGCGTTGCATCAGACTTTGAAAATGCTCACAAAGTCTTCTCCGTATTATCGAAAGATTTAGGATAAAACATGTCATCAGCACTAGAGTGAAAATAAAAAGTGGTCTCACATTGCTATTGTTTACATCGCGATTGATCCAATCTTCCCCGTAGTGAGCGAAATAACTCATTGCTCATCGAAATCTCAAGCTTCTGCCGAACCACTTTATCCGGGCTCCGGCCTCTTTGCGTCATCGTCCTGAAAATATTCCTTCACAAACATAAAAACGAACCAAATTTGATCAAGACACCGACCTGCATGATTTCCGAGTCTTCAACAATCCTCTTCCTAAAGAACGACAAGCGAAATGAACTCCTGAAACATATTTATACGAACAAAAATAGCGATCGAGAAAGACTTCCTACCTCCTTTCGATGAGGACGTCGTTTTTGTAGTTGAATTGTTGGCATATCGCAGTTGTCCATTTCGCAAGTCGAAACTCCAGAAATCCAAGGCCAAACTTGCCCTGCAAGCACTTAAAGAAGAAACAAACGAAAATAAAACATACACACATAAGCACACACATACACATAAACACTTACACTCACGCACACACAACACACACAAACGCATGCAACACATACACACACAAACGCATGCAACACATACACACAAACGTATATAAATACATAAACACACATGCACACACATAAACATACATACATATAAAAACACACATACAAATATAAACATTTACACACATAAGCACACATATACAAGTAACAATGTGAAAAAAAAAAGAAAAAAGAAAAGTACACAAGCGTCGAATACAAAACCTTTGAATACGATAATGCATATCTAATCAATCAATGGTAACTAACCTGTGCCTTTCCAAGTAAGGGTGTCCTTGCTTATTCTGGTTCTCTGCAAAATAAAACATTAGAGAAACGAAAGGATAAAACAAACACAAATAAATATTAGCGAATAAGCGAACGTTCAAAACGTGACAGGGTGACGCCGCAATGAATGATTTGCAACGACGCGCCAAATCGATAGCAGCCTGCTCCGGATACCTCCCATTTTCTGCTCCGGATACCTCCCATTTTCTGCTCCGGATACCTCCCATTTTCTGCTCCGGAGGCCTCCCATTCCTGCTCCGGACCCCTCCGATTTTCTCCGGCGCGGCTCTTCCAAATCTGGCGGACTCGCGCCGGGCAAATTTCTCCGGCGCGAGTCCGCCAAATCTGGCAGAGTCGCGCCGGAGAAATGGCGTACCTTTGCAGCAGGGCCGGAGAAGCCTCCCACTTGCCTGCCAGTGATGTCACCGCGACGGACTGCCCATTTGCCCCTCTCTCATTGGTCAACTGTGTCCGGCGCGACTCTGGCAGATTCGGACTGTCCGGCGGAGGGGTCCGGTCGATTGTCTGAGCAGAACGGCTCACAGTTTCATTGGTTTTGGCAGGTGAAAAATTAGAAATTTTGAAAAAACCTGTTCGGAAGACTGGTCACAGCTGTAGAGCCACCTCTCATTTTTGATCAATATTACCTTCTTTGAACCTATAATTTTTTGTACATAGACAAGGTCGAAATGTGAGGCATCCGTCACACCCGAGGCCTGTCGCCTTTTGAAAAGAAAGTTACACTGCATTTTTTGCTTCAAAATGCATACAAATCTACATTGTCTCAAAAATATGGTCCTGGACCATTTCAAGCATTTGTTCAACTCAGATGAATGTCCTAGTTCGCTGAGCCTTAACAACAAATATGGAGAAAAGAGGTTTGGTTATCATTGCGTAGTGTTGATACTGGTATACAAGCTTTCCCTTCACTTTCGTGGACGAGCTTTTGAACCACACAAGCAGAGTTCTGATGCCCAAAAAGTTCTGCCATGTTCTCAATACGTCGGCTGTACAATGATAGACTCGTACGCATAGCTTGAACACTATCGCAACCCTGAAGACTTTAGAAATGCCTTGAACGGTCTTTCCTCAAAAATGGGTGGTGCACTCTGCGTGATCATTACCCACTCTGACCACCCGATCGGGCGCCCAAAGTCGCCCAAAACTTTGAAATTGTAATATTCTTAAGAGTTCCGTAAGATTGACTTGATGAGGAGTTGAAAGGAGCAAAATTTGGAGTTATGTTAGATTTACTGCGCACCATTTGCAGATGTAGGGTTTTAATTCCAGTGTTGCAATTACGACTTAGCAAAAATTCTGGCAACTTTTGCATGAGTATGTCGCCATGTAAACAAAATGGCCTTACGACGAAATTTTCGCGCGTCGGAAATTGAGTTCTGCTTCTCAGAAGTGGCTTACAACTAGGTAAGATTGGCTTTGTTCATCGATATTAGCGACTATGCAATGTTGGCCGAAGCGCTTCCCACCTTATTTTGCAAAGACTCAGCGAATCCTAGGACATTCATCTGACAAGGGAAGCGTCTTTAGTCGAAGTGGCCTTTCCACATGTGGCACCTAAATCACTTTGTAGAGCATTGAACGGTGATTCTAAATCCGTCTTCCGTATCTGCCAAGCCTCTCCGGAGGTCGAGTTATGGGCGTTTTTAAGTCGAAAAACTGAATGCACAACTGGAACAAAATCGTCCAAGACTGCTCAAATGGTAGGTGTTCATTATCAGAGCATTCATTTAATGAACCTTTTGTCTAGTACCCTTATACCCCTACTCGAGCGCAGGAAACATCGTAATTACTGTTTTTACATAGATTCGGCGTTCAATTTTTGCTTCAAAAAACCCCCATAACTCGGCGCCCAGGGGTGCTTGGCAGATAGCGAAAACAGATTTGAAACCAGCGTGTAATGCTCTTCAAAGTGGTATAGGAATCGTTTGGAAAGGCAATTCGACTAAAGACGCTTCCCTTATGAGTTAAACAAGGGCTTGAAAATTTGGTATAAGAGCAGTCTTTGAAACAATGTAACTTCTTATGCTTTTTGAAGCAAAAGCTGCAGTATGAATTTTCTTTCAGAGGCGACAGCCAGGTGTGACGAATGTCTCACAATTTGACTTTGTCTATGTACAAAAAATTTTAGGTCTAAAATATGTAGTGACGAAAATGGGAGGTGGCTCTATAGCTGTGACCAGCCTTCGGAGCAGGTTTTTCAAAATTTTCAATTTTTCTTAGGCCAAAATCAATGACATTGGGAGCCGTTCTAGTCAGTGATGTGACGTTGGCTTATACATAGAATAGTGGTTTTTTACACAATTTCTTCCAGAAAGGGCAAAATACAGCGATTTTTTAGGGTGGCTCTATAGATATGGCAAGCACCGTATAGGGAATCTCAAAAGTAAGCAAGCACTTTCTATTCGTTAGTAACTTTCTTTCCACAAAATCTTTTGCTCAGCTTCGAGTACCATTTAGTAGAGCAGACTTTGAAGACGTTTTCCATCTGATTCTTTACTTCCATGTTTTGGTCGCTCCGGGGCCTTGCCATGTCCCTAACTCTGAATATGAGATCAAGAAACCGCGAAACACCAGACGATCCCCGTTCCGGAAAGCCGTAGCCGTTCTCGGAAACGGTGATTATATGGGCACGCATAGATGGGCGGGCTTTACTGGAGGGGGCGTGCCGACTTGGGATCCTCATGCCTCTTTGCTATTCCGAAGCACTTTTGTCGCTTTCGAAGCAACATTTTGCCCCAACTTGGGCTTCGCTTGATAGGGAGTCCTACCATCGTAAGCTTTTAAAAACCCAAGAACCCTTACTTAGGGCGAGGTGCTTTCAACTTCAATCAGTATAAGGCGCCTATCGTTCTTCATTCCTATAGGATCAGGACTCGATGGCTACATATTGCCTCAGAATAGGTACTCAAAAAGCTGAAAACCTTATCATTAGGCTGAATGTGTCGCTAATTATGAATATGAAATTTGCAATCTACCGTAAGACTTTCAAAAAGCTTTGCTAGAAAACTGCAATGATTTTTCTCATGGTTTTTCAAAAAAGTGATCAAATTTCTGGAAACGCTTCAAAAGTTGTCAGAAGTTGTCTAATGGAATCAGCATCTCTGAAAACACTGCTACACAACTCTTCAAGTTTTTTGGTACTTTTTTACACAGGCCTGTTTTACAATAGCGCCATATACTGGATGTCTTACCGTAATCCTACAATAATAAAGAGCGATGGGTATTTGTTCCATGCTCTAATCTAAGTTGAAGCCTGTTCTACTAAATAGACCTGAAGCTTAGCAAACGACTTTGTGAGAAAAGAGTTGCTCTCGATTGAGAATTGTGTACCCCCAATTTTGAGATACCCTGTGTGACGTTTAGCGCCATATGCTTTTCTTCTCGTGAGTCTTCGCGGTGTTGCAGGAAAGGTTATTTTTGTTCTATTGTGGAAATGCACTGTTCGGTAGAGCAAAGTAAGCACAGAAAGGCTTCCAAACACATCGTCGATTCGTTGACCGCACGGACTGCTTAAATGCTGCGGACCATGCGCGGGGCGGCTGGATTGTCGCGAGAGCACCACTTGTACAACGGCGTAGTTATGCTGAGGCAAGCACCTCGCTGAACGTGCTCCGCAGTAATGTGTCCGTGCGGTCAACGAATCAACTATATGTCAAATTTTGATCTACTAAATCTAAGACTCGTAAAGAATTTTGTCAAAATTTACGTCTTTGTCCAGATGTTTACGGATTACTCACGCATATGTCTTGCACATCACAAAATTGTATGTACCCTTGCTCTATTGTCGAGGCTGAAATCATGAAACGTAATTTGGCATGATTTTGCCAATGCTGAGTGGCTAAGCGAAATTCGTACAAAGCAAGTCTATCCCATGTTGATGAGATGTCGATCCCGTCAACACTGGATGGATTTGCTCTACCTGAGTGACACTAGTCAAACTCGGCCAATGGTGTACTCACCCTCTAATTTATAGAGAAGAATGCGAAATGATGGAACCGATGCTATACGTAAAAAGTAAATACATAAAGCGCAACAAGCTTTAACGGATACTAACTGCAAAAAGATAAGCTCTTTGCCTTTAACGAAAAAGTGTTCGATATGTCTCTTCCAACTCGATGCGATGACCTCTGTTTTTGAATGCTTTTGAACGTATTGTACTTCGGCGGGCAGCATAACGCTTGGGTTTTTTAATTTTCTTGCTCATTATTATAACAACACGATGCACCCGTTTGCGGTGCTAGTTAGAGGTTAGGGTTTCTCACCTGTATGATGTCAACTTTCCTTCTTCTTCTACATGCCATTTTTGGTTCTTCACGGTACCCGACGTTGATGTATCGATGGTGCTTGGGGTAGAAGCATATCTTCGAAGCAGTGGCGTACCCAGGATTTCGGCTCGGGGGGGGGGGGGCGCGGCAAAAAAAATTTTCAAATGAAGGTGCGTGGTGTTAGCCACGCACTCCGAAAAAATTTTAGGGGGGCTTCTCAAGAATTTTGCGGGCCCCGAACCCATAAAATCTGGGAAAAGGGGGCGTGGCGTCAGCCACGCCCCCGAAAAAATTTTTTTATAAGGCTAATTTGAATTTTTAAAAAATTTTAAAAATTATTTTAATTGTTTACAAAAATAAACAAGTCATTTGCACATTTTTATAACTCTTACAAGTAGCTTTCAAAAATTTCGCGACCCATTCTCGGGGGGGGGGGGGCGCGCGCCCCCCCCCCGCCCCCCCCCCCTCGGTACGCCACTGCTTCGAAGTATAGAGATAGGGCCTCGAAAGTCACCTTCAAATCACCTTCAAAGCTGTGCAAACCATAAAGGTGAAGGTGACTTACAAAAAATTAGAAAAAAAAGAAAATTATAGAATGGCAAAAGTAAAAGAAACGATGGACCGAAAGACGGTGAAATCGTTTTGAAATCTTATTAGGTTGGTGCAAAAATTTTGTCACAAACACGCTAGAATGAAGATAAACAAACAATTCAAAATGCATCTGATGCAGAATTTCTTCCTCTTTCTAGCTGCTAAACTCCCATTGTGTTTCGTTGCGAGAATGATGCGATATTTGCTGGAAATTGCAACCATTCGTTTTTACCATGCCCAAATTTCAATAATTTTCGAAACTTTTGTATGAGATTTTTGGAGTGGTTCTAATAACCACCAGATAGGGCAAATCTTTTGCCAACTTGTGCAATTTTTTTCTTTTTTTCAGCTGCTTTTTTAGATTTTTGTTAAATAATTTTCTGATAGTGTTGCGTTTTGAAAAAATCGCATAACCTGTTATTGCACCAAACACCGCAAAACCTACAGAATACTGAGGTTTTAACACTCTATTATTACCACCGCTACCACTACAAAGTAAATGAGCGACTTTCGCTTCAAATTATGAAGATTTTGGAACCTAGGTTACGTCAGTGCGCACTCCTGAAATTGAGAAATACTGCGGTTTTTTCCACAAATTTCGCCTCTCTCGCTGAAAAAAGAAAAATGTTAGAAGGAGGACAAAAAGTTGCATCGAATGGTGACTGAAGTGTTTAACATTTTATGTTCACAAGGTTAAAGTAGGCTGAATATAAAATTTGGTCACTTCAAAAAATAAATCGTAGAAATTTTGAAAGACAAGCCGTAGGGCTACAAAAAAAATGCACTAGTTGGCAAAAGGTTTGCCCTATCTGACGGTTATTAGGGCTCCTCCGAAAGTCCCATACAAAATTTTAAATTAGCGAAATTTGGGCGTGATAAAAACGAGTGGTTGCAATTTCCAGCAAATAACATGTCACTCTTGCAACGAAACACAATGGGAGTTTAGCAGCTAGAAAGAGGAAGAAATTCTACATTAGATGCATTTTGAATTGTTTGTTTATCTTCATTCTAATGTGTTTGCCGAGGGATTGAAAAAAATGACAAAACTTTTGCACCAACCTAACACATTTGGCGGCATTTCTAATCGCAATTTTTTCACACTCCTGTTCTCAACTCGATTGGAAAACGAGAAAAAGCTAATTCTTTGAGTGCAATGGATCAAATGCAATCAGTCGGAAGTGGCGATTGCAAAGAAGAAGATAAACAATAATCAAATTTAGTCGAATTTTCACAGGGTAAAATAGAATGTATACACAACTCAGTTTCTGATGCGTGCTCTGATTTGCCCGCTTCTTGTCGCCCCTGTTTTCTACTTTACCATGAAGAAACATCTAGCAAGGGAAGCTACTTAACTTAGCTCGGCGTTTCGGCAAGTGACATACAAATTCTGAATCAGCTTCAAACGCTGATTCCAAATATGTTAACCTCAGCTGCCGAGCACCATATCGAAGCGATTTATGGACTTATTCCTGCGCAAAATTGGCATACTCATCGACTCACTGGCGGCATCAACACCTAAGTGCTAATACACTTGCGTTTAACATCGTTTTAGTGAGAAAAGATTTGTTTTGCGTTATTTCGATATCTCAGCACTTTTTCTTGCAGACTTTTATCTACAGACACTCTTTCCATGTTCAGTAGTATGCCGTTTTGCGCAGAAAGTTCAAAACTCGCTTCGGAATTGCTCGGCAGCTAGGAATAGCATATCTGAAACTGATTCAGAACATATATGTCCCTTGTCAAAATGCCGAACTAAGCTAAGTAGCTTTCCTGATAAGTTTAATAAACGTTGCGTACTTACTTCAAGAAATAATTGTTAAGAAAAACGCACTTTTGGCAGTTTTCACTGAATTTTACTTTGCAGTCGATAAAGTATGCTCGGCGACGTTGCCCACATCATAGGCAACTGATCAATCTAGTGAAGAAAGCGCACGGAAAGAGTTGTAGGGGAAATAAGATGTGATCTAAAATGTTCTTGCTAGATTCTTCATTTTGGTTCTAAAAAAGTTTGGCGGCATTTTTAGCTTATTTGTGTGATTAATGTAGTCGATTCGTTGATCGCACGGATTGGACATCACTGCGGAGCAAGCGCCTAGAGGTAAACGCTTGGTCCAGTACAAATCTGCCATTGTACAAGTTGTGCTCTCGCAACATTTCAGCGGCGCCGCGCGCGATCCATAGCGTTAGAGCAGTCCGTGCGGTCAACGAATCCACGATACAAGATGATATTTCAATAAGATTTGGTTTGGAACAACGAAGAAAAGGCACTGAGCCGAATGCCCTATGGAACGCGTGGGTTAGCGAAGCAGCGCAGACAGGTGGAGATGCAGACGAGCAAAGGACAAAGAGCAGAACCGAAGTAGCATTTGGCTCCGGTTGGAGATCTCCACGGATTTTCATAAAGTCCTGCGACAAAATATTATTCTGTTCGTCATGAGACGACTAGGAGCACTGACAACTTCGACGACGTCAAAAACTCTCCTCAACTAAATTAACCAGCATTTTCGTGTAAACTCTGCGCATCGTTTAGAGGAATGTTCATCCTAGGTTAGGGGTCTTGAGCTTTTGGCAGCTTACGATAGTAGTAGGACCCTTCATCAAGCAAATGCCCAAATGGCAGCGCAAAATGTCGCTCGGAGGCCAAAATCGCTTCGTAGCGAAGAGGGCCTGAGGACCCAAAGTCGGCACCGCCCCCTCCAGTAATGTCCGCCCATAGCTGCGCGCGCATCAATCAGCTTCAGGAGAACCGGCCTGCGGGTTCTTCCAAACGCGGACCGTCGGGTTTTTCGCGGATTCTCGACTTCCTATTCGGAATCACGGACATGAGAAGCCTCTGGAACGACCAAATCACGGAAGTCGAGAATCTGGGTGGACGTTGCCTTTAAATGCTGTTTCTGATTTTTATTGAACCCCAACAGTCTTGCTGAATTTCTGCCTAGTAATGATCAAAGAAAGGAGAGTACGAGGAATGTTGGTGTCATCTTCAAGTAATCCTCACAAAAAACTTGTTCCTAACATCAAAAAGCTATACGAATGCAATCTTTTAGCATTTGAATATTTTCAAGTTATTAGTTACTAGCTGGCATACCCGGCTCCGCCCGGCCCTGTCAAAAACGATAAAGGTTCTATTTCTATCATTGTACACCTTTACCTATGCCCACTTCTACATGCAATTCCCTATTCCCGCTGCGTTAGTAATCAGTATGCCCACCTAACCTTCCTCACCAACCCCCCTCCCCAGCCCCGTAGCTCAAACCTTGCAAAAAAACAATAAAATCGATAAAAGTAAGGATAATTCTAAAAACTGATGGCGTTATGCGGCTATCCGGGCCCTAAAATGTTTATGTGGTGGATCTTGCTCAAACTCGGTATCACCTGTATCACCTGTATCCCCGTTGATCATCGTGTTGCACGAGCGGGTACCAGTGATGCCTCCATTCGTCCCTGTCTCGGGCGATTGTTGACCAATGTTTACGTATCGCACCAGGAACACGTGGAACGCTCTGAAGGACTTCATTAGAGAACTTCGTGAACATATCTGACCATCGCGTCGGCGGTCTTCCTCGTTCGCGTTTGACGTCCAGTGGTATCCAATCTGTTACAGCTCTCGTCCACCGGTTGTCGTCGAAACGCATTACGTGCCCGGCCCATCTTATCTTGTTCTGCTTGGCGTACGCGGCAGCGTCCCTGATCTTCGATCGTTGACGTAGGGTAGAACTTCGTAATCCTTGCCTCACTTGCGTGAGTCGATTCACTCCTAGCATCACTCTCTCAAAAGCTCGTTCGATGACGCTAACCGCGTGTTTATCCTGCTTTCTCATTGTCCATGTTTCTGAAGCGTACGTCAAAGCAGGAAGAACCGTCGAGTTGAAAAGGTGGGCGCGGAGCCGGATGTTCTTGGTCTTCTTCACTACGTCCTCAATTGTCTTATATGCTCCCCATGCTGCACGTTTCCTCCTGCTCAGTTCCGGAGCTAGATCGTTCATCATATTGAGTTCACAACCTAGGTAGGTGTAGCTTGAGCATTCGGTGATGTTCGTCCCGTTGAGCATGAAAGGAGCATCAGGCACTCTTCCGTTCCTCATGAACATCGTCTTCGTTAGATTCAGCCGTAGACCGATCTTTCCACACACTTCGTCAAACTGGGCCAGCATTTGTTCCGCCTGCGTGATGCTTGGTGTTATCAATACGATGTCATCAGCAAAGCGAAGGTGGTGTAGCTGCAGGCCGTCGACTTTCACTCCCATGTTGTCCCATTCCAACTTACGCATGACGTTCTCCAGAGCGGCACTGAATAGTTTCGGCGATATAGTATCGCCTTGTCGCACGCCTCTCTTCACGTCAATGATGATGTCCTTGTAGAATGGTGTTATAGTGGTTGTGAAGTCGTTATACAGCTCACGAATTATCTTGATGTAATGAGTCGGAATACCTTGATTGCTCAAGGCATCGATGACGGCTTCAGTCTCAACCCAGTCAAAGGCCTTCTTCAAGTCGATGAAGGTGAGACAGAGCGGCATCTTATACTCTCGTGACACTTCAATGAGCCTTGACACCGTGTGTATGTGGTCGATCGTGCTGAATCCTCTTCGAAACCCAGCTTGCTCGCATGGTTGTCCTTCGTCCAACTCTCTTCCGATCCTGTTGAGAATGACTCGCGTAAAGAGTTTGTAGACTACAGACAACAAGCAGATAGGGCGATAATTGCCGATGTCGCAGGGATCTCCCTTCTTGTACAGCAACACGGTTTTGCTGGTCTTCCATTGCCTTGGAACCTTGCCTTCCGTCAGGTACCGCGTGAAGAGCCTTGCCAAAGTCTTGATGAGAACTGGCGAAAGATTCTTCAGATGTTCTGGCTTAATCCTGTCGGGACCGGGTGCTGTACGGTTTTTCATCGACATGATAGCATGACGAATCTCGGAAGGAAGAACAGACGGTGCGACATACTCGTCCTCCTTGAGATGGCATGGTGGAAGGTGGACGTGGATCGCAAAAAGATCCGAGTAGAAGTCGTGGATGACCTTCTCCATTGATCTTCGGGAAGCAGTTATGGTTCCGTCAGGACGACGAAGTGCGGTCATCTTTGTCTTGAAGTTGACGAAGCTTCGGCGGGCGTTGCGTATACTTCTTCCAGCCTCCGCGGCGTCAACCATCACTGCTACTCTTCTCTCCTTAAGGTCTTCTTTTATCGCTTCTCTGCATCGCTTCGCAAGCTCGGACGTCAGTCGGTAGTTGCCTGTGGCTCGTGCGCGTCTACGTTGGCGTATCAGCTCCAAAGTCCCCGTGGTGAGACGCCTTCTCGTACTTCTTAGACTCTGAGCTTCCTTGGCACAACCGTGGAGATGTTGTACGAACCGTTCGTATTCTTAGTCGATATTGTCCATCACGGTATCTCGCCATGAGCCGGATATCGAAGAAAACAGATCCCAGTTGGTGGTATTCATGGGACGATGTTTCCTGAACTTGACGGCTCTCTCTCCATTCCGCGGAAAGTAGAATTTGGCGCGCAGGAAACGATGGTCTGATCCCGTGTAGAACTTCGGAACAACAGCGACGTCCGTCAGGCAGTACCTTCTGTTGATGATGATGTGGCCAATCTCGTTATGGTACTCTCCACCGGGCGATTCCCAGGTCCAGCGTAGGGAAGAGGGCTTTTGGAACTGTGAGTTTCCATGGATAGTCCTCGTCGTCATGATAAACTCGGACAGTCTCTCCCCTTGTTCGTTCCACTGCAAACCATGGGTTCCGATGTGAAGTTCCTCAGTCGACCTTCTAGTTCCGATCTTCGCGTTGAAATCACCGACGATGATCTTGTAGAAGGTATGATCTTCCCTGTAGAACTTCTCCAAGTCCATATAAAATTCCTCGAGTTCGTCCTCGTCGTAGCTGGATGTTGGGGCGTACGCAATGAAGACGGTCAAGGCAGGGATTGATCCACATCTTGATATTCGCAAACGTCCGATTCGAGTTGTAAGTTGTTCGAACAAATCGATGTTCATGGCCAAACTCGTGTTGACAAGGACTCCCACTCCACCTACTCCTCGACTATCGCATGTTCCTAGAAACAGTTCTTCTCCAGTCTCAAATGTGGCGTTCAGCGGGTGGTGCCTCCTTGTCTCGGTCAGTCCGATGACGTCGTACTTAATCTTCCTTGCTTGCATCATGAGATCTTCGATAGATGCGTCCGATGCCAGCGTCCTCGCGTTGTAAGTACAGATCGTCATCATAGTCCGTCTCGTTTTCGGCAGCCTAGATCGCCTTTCAAACCTTGTCCCCATTGGCGCTGCCTTACCAGTGGCTCTTCCAAGATTAAAGGAGCTTTCCATATTATCACTGTGTCGAACAAGAATTTACTCGCAGGGATAGCTTGTTGGGCTCAAAACCCCCGCGAGGGACGATCGGAGCTTATTTGTTGGAGGCGACTCCGAACTCGCCTCCCCACACACCTACCCGGGAAATTAGGGCGCAAGCTTTTAGTGGAGGCAGGGAGTCCGTCCCCCGGCTCCGCTTGCTTATCAGAGCAGGCGCGGGGTCGCTTTTGGTCGGCGATTATCCCCCTATCCGCCACCTGGGGACGCCCCACGTAGCCTCGCGACTAACCGGCTGTGATCCCTCTATGAGGGATGGGGGGTTAATCAAGCCGCTGATGACGAATATCGTAGTCATTTCGCGTGGCAGCGGGTAAAAATCATGAACCTGCCTGAAACCTTGGCAGGGAATTACCTAAAATGCTGTTTTAAGAATATCGTGCTTAATCCTCACGATAAAAACAATTCGTGTAGTATAAAAGTTTCCCACGACCGTAATGCTTTCCTCATAGGACCACTGCCGCGCGCGATACACCCTTCGGCGGCTTTCGCCTAAGCAAAAAAGGGGAGAATTGCCGAGTGCGTTACGCGCTAGGACAGGTTATCAGGATGGCGCTGGAGATCGCCATCCAGAACGACCGTTTCCCCACTTCGTGAATATCTGGGATCTAAATTGGCCCGCAAGCGAAAAAATGTCCATTCGAACCCTGCAACTCACCATAACTTCACAATAATGCGTTGTAACAGCGAGCAAGCATCATATTTATAAGCAGTGTGCTTGTGAACCGTTAAGGTAAGAAGCAAATTTGGAACTTCGACCCACCTACTGTATATCCACCGTAACTCAGAAAATGCGCTAACTTGCGAAATCAGCATATATTTATGTTCAGCGCGCTAAATGACCACCCTAGATGAACTTTGAAGCAAATCTATCATCGGTTTCCAGATTCGTGTGGAGGTGGAGTCTTGCCACTCAACGCAAAAGCAATGCTATGACGTGGAGGTTAAACAACTTTACCTGTACTATCAGGCGAAGTCTGTAATACACCTCCACACGAATTTGAAAACCGATCATATATTTTCAATCCCATACCATAACTCTATGAAAAAGTCCCAATATGCAGAGAGAGTACAAAATTCGTAATCGTAATCGGCATGTCGAATGAGTTCTCTGGACCGAACTCCAGCCGCATGGTACTGAATTCCTACCGTACACCTACCGTAACCACACGGGGAAACGTTCTGCGGAAGTGTGATATCTGTAATCAGCATGTAGATAACCCTTATACACGAAGTTTGAGCAAGCTCTACGACAAAACAATTTTGGGGCCCGGATAGCCGAATAGCACCAAACTAATATTGTAATCGTAATCAGCATGCTCGATAACCCCACTGTGCCAACTCCCAGCCCAGTAGCTCAAACTTTGCAAAAAAAAATCGATAAACGATAAAAATAATGGACGATTTCAAAAACTAGTATTGTATTCGTAATCGGCATACTCGACTACCACCCTGTGCAAACTCCCAGCCCCGTAGCTCAAACTTTGCAAAAAAAAATCGATAAAATCGATAAAATCAATATCGATCGATGACGGAATGTCGCCTATGACACCCGCCTGGGCACGAAGTGTATGTGTGCCAAGTTTGCTCCGGATCGGTTCAGAAATGGAATTTTCTATTCGGAACATACGTACACACATACAGACAGACATACAGACAGACATACAAACAGACATTCAGCTTTATATATACAGTCTTTTTCAGCCCGGAGTAGGTGAAACGTTTCAGTTGGAGCTACGCGTCCACACCGCCACTGGCTCAGCGAGATAGATTAAAATGAAGAGACGCAGACTGCAAAGCGGCGCTAGTCGTTACGAAGCGGATTCCCGCCAGTCCAATTTTCGCCTAAACTGAGTTGAAACATACTATAAGACTACTGCTTCACCCACCTGATCTGATTCATAAACTTGGCATCCAGGGCTTCGCCCCGAATGATTTGTGTTTTTTTAGATGAAGATTTTTTTCTTCTAAAGCGCTCACTCTTGAATGAAGATTGGCAGAGTACGTGGCTCTACGTATCGGACAGGTAGAAAGTGCCCGCGAATGGGTTCTTGATTGTCCTTTTGAAGTGGAAATAATCGAAATAACCTATGACCTACTAAAGGAGGAGAAGGCAGAAAATGAGCTTCAGATTTCTGCAATGTACTGGGTTGTTTCTTAAGTTCAGTCCGATTTGCGATTATTAACAAATTAAATTTTGCTGTATTAAGCGAGTTTATGGCTATCACAGGCATGTAAGGAAAGCAAGGTAGAGAAGAGGAAAATTTAGAATTTTGCAAGGTTTTCTTTGAAACCGTCCATTTAACGTACCAATGCACACATGGGTAATTGAAAAACGGACAGAACTTTTGAAACAGCCTACTCAGACAGTCGAAGGGATACCTCCGGCGGGCAAATGGCGGGAGTCCGCCACTTCGCGCTCTGGACGCTCCGGAGCCCTGCCATTTCACCCATTTTGGTGCTCCGGGGTTCACCGTGACGTCACGGTGACGTCACAAGCAGGCGAATGGGACCCCTCTCCGGGACGCGCAAATCTCTGCTCCGGAGATGCGCCAAATATGGGAGAGCCCCGGAGCACCAAAATGGGTGAACTGGCAGGGCTCCGGAGCGCTCCAGAGCACGAAGTGGCAGACTCGCGGCATTTGCCCGCCGGAGGTATCCCTTCGAGTATCCCTTCGACTGTCTGAGTAGTATCTATCATGCTATCAGAAGGCAAATTTGTGCTGATGTCTGGATATCCAACTAAACTTTAAAAGCTGCTATTAGTTTACATCAAACCCAGTACCTTTGCACCCTTTTATGTGCAAAAAAAGCGCTTTTATGTTCATTAACTTAGGACAATAATCCATCGGATTTTGGAGGAAAACAAATTAATTCATACATACACATACAATATACACAAATATCCGGCACCAAAGTATCATCAGGCATTTTCCTTTTCTTTCTTATCTTTTGTTTGTTGTTTATGTGTCTTGACAAGGGTTTTGACGTCCCTCCTGTGTAAGATGGAATCTTTAGTAAGAGCCTCGATTGCAGCAGTAGCTACTGCTTCCTGTCGACGTTGTTGAAGGGCTTCACGATACTGCACTAAAACCATAACATTTCTCTGTTAATTTTGACACATTGGTTGAGAAAGGGTGTTAATGGAGGTTAGTTTCAATATTTAGCAATCAGATAAGACCAGGTTGGAGTAAAAGTATTTCGAGCCGTCATGTGGCACCAGCTGCTACTTGAGAGGTAAGAAGTTACCACCATGGTTGATGTTGAGGTCAAGCGCGCCCGACCTGGGCGGGGGGGGATCGTAATGGGGGTAAGACTAATCAAGACGGGGAGGGGCCAGCCCGGCTTTTTTTTTGAGAAATTTTGGATTTTGATATGACTCTACCGTATACCTGAAAATCAGAAATTACGATTTTGCTTGCATTCTAGCAATCAAGACGAAATTGTTCACAATATGGAGGGATGCTACTATTGAGTGAGGTGAAGAAGAAGAGTGCTAGACCAGTGAATATCATTCCACCGGAAAGGGAATGACCGTAGTTAATTGCATATTGGTTAACTCCACTGACGAAGTTTCTGCCAACGGTAGGGTCACCAAAGAGGCTTGCTGTGTAAAATGGTTAAGATTTCCGTAATCAGCATGCCAAATTACCTATACGAGCTCTACAAACCACCACCTATCACATTTTCTACTGTTGCCTAACGCCTAGGAAGCGTGATTTTCAGACATGATTAACTTGCTCAAGAAAGTAAAACAAGTCTGCTTTTTTGTGTTCAAAACAAAGTAACAATCTTTGTCAGCCTATGGTAGGAATTAGATCTTCTATCGCTCTCAAAAAGCGGATCAAGATGTGAAAATTTCAATCACCGCGTTTTCCACTTCGAGTGCTTCAATTCCATCGATCACCACAAAGCCGGAACAAGTCTGGGTGAGCTCAAACACCTACTGTAGAACCTTCGAGGTTTGTGCTAGCGAATCACATAAAACTAGTGTGAAAAGAATTCTTCGGTGATAAAGTTAACCGGGTCAGCGCAACCCCCTCAATAGCTCAAGTCGCCTGAGCTTTTGTAGCCTTGCGCCTGATCCCCTTAACATGTCTTCAAAATCCAGAAATCGCTCTATTCCTGGTATGAGTATTGAGGTCATAGCTTCTTCTTACTGCAGAGAAAATTTGGAGCCAAACAACCGTTTTGAAGAAATTATGATCTTGCAATAAACCCATTCAGGTCAAAATCAACTGTCAAATTACTTGTGATTGTAAAGTGCAATCGCAGCAAATCGGGCGTACAGACTTCATAAATCCAAAATCTCTCTAGAAAAGGATGGTGTCCTCCAGAATGTCGCTCTCTGGGGTTTCTGAGGTGTAAAGGGGGAACAATGGGGCCGTTTGAGGTTTTCAGAGAGGGGGGGGGGGGTCGTTTTCGAAAAAGTTCTGCCTGATCTCTTGCTCAACTCTGGTTATTATTCTTAACAATGGCGACGAGCCATTCTTTTTAAGCTGTCCCTGTGACAAGATGTTTTCGTGTGCATTTTGCCTGGCTGTATGTATATATGCACACTCTATGCTTATATGAGTGTGCAAGTGGGCGAGGTAGCTCCGCCCCTTTGTGGGACTCCACCCACTCCGCAAAAAATGCTGGAAATTGCTTGAAATCTATGTTCGTGCAAATTCCGGCGTTTTTGAAAAGTGTTCTGACTCGGAGTTTGCCACGGAGGGGGTGGAGCCTGCCTGACGGGGGCGGGCCAAGATCAATGATGCTGACAAGGGTGTTGATGTTTCTGTATCATCAACCAATGATGAACTCTATATTCTACATAGCCTATGGAATCCCTGTAGGCTAAATGGTGAGCTACTCACTCTTGAGTATCTTATCACTCAAGAACAAGTGCTACCCGTGTGCCAGGGGTGTAGCGAATAGGCGGCATCTCGTTTCAAGCATCAACTCGTATACATTCCCTGTACCCGGTTCAGCTCCGCCTTTCTTTGTATATAAGGAGCCTTCGAAGGTATTAGAGGTTGCTCCCCGGTCCACACCGGACACCTCGATATTCTTTGTCCAAATCGTCACATGCGAATAAAGCTATTCCACAACTACTCGTCTACTTAGTGCACACCAAAAAAGGAATGGTCAGAATTCGAAGTGGCCAATCCAAGTATGCTGCATACCATTTGATGCAGCATTCAATGCAGCTGATTTCGAATTTGTTCCATATCTGCTTAACGCCTTTGTGGACGAAGCTACGAGCAGTTTTGTTACGAAAAGATCGCACATAAACACTGCGAAAGAACACACTGTTGCATTTTCAGCTCATCTTTGGGCTTTAAGAATATGAAGTAACCTAAATGCATGTTTCGGTCCAGCTTTAAGCCAAAGCTATCTACTGCCAAGTTTGCGCTTTGAATGCACAATTTCTTAGCAAAATAAAAGCCTCTAACAGTTCACAACTTCACCCACATAGCGCTAAGCAGATATTGAATACAGATTCGAAGTCAGCGTTTTAGCTGCAACTGATGGTACGCAGCTTGTTTAGAATGGGCAATTCGATTTCTGACCATTCCCTTGGGAGGATCCAAATTATTTGCGACCTCTTCTATGAGTTTCGAGCACAAAAAAGTTTCTTGCAGAAGGCAAATGGAGTGAACAAAGTTTACCAAAAAGAGGGGCGGGCCAGATGGAAGACTCCTGAGCCTCAATTGATTGTATGGACAAAAATTAGAACGGTTGGGCACATAAAATGTAAAGGTTAACGTGTCGCGCACCATTGCGCGGCGTCATCCACGGAGACACTGCCCCATTGCGCGCCACTGTCATTAACATAATAAAGATAGCGATGCTCTGGGTGGCAAGCCAAAAACTGGCGAATTTGTCATCGGAATGGACAATATCATGAGAAAGAACGCCGCTGCACTTCAGCTTCTTCGCCTGACTTTTCTTCCTTCTATTTTGCACCCTTCGTGCTAAAGAATTCTTGATTTATTCGAGTTTAATTCAATAGCCTTTTGTATGTAATGATATGAAAAAATGCCTGAAAAATTTTGGTAGTTTTTTCAGCGGATTTGCAGGGTTTTTTTCAGAGCGATTAGCGATCCAAGGAGAGCTCGTGTGGGATATTTAATGCTCGCACGGATCAGAAAAACTGTAAAAACAAAGAGAGGGCAATCATTAACTGAAGGGAAAAGAAAACAAAGATCTTTTCCAAAGTTTGGCTAATTCTTGCTTGGATAAGTTCTCAAGGTTTTGGTATGGTGAGAGGTGAGTCTTTGCTCTTTCTCCACTATTGAAGTAGCAGAGATCTAGAAAGGAGCTAGGGATTCTCCCTCTTTTAACTCAAGCTTTATCACAAGATTCAAATCCTTGACAAAAAAGGGGGTGTGGCCACGGGGGGGGGGACAAATAATTTCTACAGACATAATTCCCATCTCGAGTTGATTTTATATTTGAGCATCAAAAAGTAAACAAAATTCATTTGCCTAATTTCAGAGCTTATCAAAGAATTCGCGGACCATTCGGGAAGTGCCATCAACCTTTCTCCATCTCTCCTACCCCTCTAATTCCATTATACTGGAATTATGACAATGGGAGTCTTACGAATGTTCTGTATTTGTAAAGATGACGTGAAGTAGAATGCAGGAAGACAGCGAAAACCCATTAGATTGAGAAGGCGGGATGTATAAAGCATAAACAATTTTATCGAACTCTACCATTGTGCAGAAAACGATGAGACTCACTTGAGTGAATAACAAGTAGGCCACCCCAGGCGATGCTCCAAAACCATCCAACAAAGAGAAATGTTATCGTGAAGAACTGGCTTATGCCCACCAGCAGGTTAACAACCTAAATAAATTGATACAGATAAGAGATACTTGTTGAAATTTTACAGATTTATGGATAGTCGAACATGGATTCTGATGAAATTTTACACTTTCGAACGCCCATGTGCTGGTGCAGAAGGTACGTTACTAGAGTAAATGTCTACTTGTCTTTGTTTATAACATACGTGTTTTGTTCTGGATGTTTTCTTGCTGTCCTACCTGAACGTATCTCAATCACTTACTACCAAGACTACAATACCGCTCACAGAATGTGCAAAATTTCCGTGAATGTCGCAGAATTCCGGGAATTCCGGGAATTTCGCGACATTCATGTAAATCACGCAAATTACGCAGAGCCATAACTTCTTTCCGAATGAGTGTATTCAAAATCCAAAAACAGCATTGTATTCAGCTCGTCAAGGCAAATCTTTTGCTATACAGGTTGTCTCCAATATCCTGTTTTCAATAATCTTGAATTTGCATGCGGACGCCTCTTCGCATGGGTGTAACGCAACGAGCATCACACAAAGGAGACTGCCGTGCGCACCCTTCGATAGTACTCTTTCAGTAGATTATTTTGCGCTAAACAGCAGCCGAAGACTGTCTTTTAAAGGAGATAGAAGAGCTGATAAACTCTGGAAAAATTAAGCTGTTCCAAGTTCTACCAGCCGTAACTTCCTTCAAGATGAACATTTTCGAAATCCGAAAGCAGAATTGTGTTCAGCTCGTCAAGGCGAATCTTCAGATATACAGCATGTCTTTGAAATTTTGTTTCCAATTTTTTCAAACTTTTCTGCGCGCGTATATTCGCAAGGTCGCACGCAGCGCACATCAAACATAAAAGACCCCAATAAGCACTACTGGATTGTGCTGCTTCCGCGGATTACCGAGCGCTAAAAATGAACCTTGGAATCTTTTTCAGAAAACACAGAAGAGCTGGTGAATCCTGGAAGAATCGTGTTCTCTCAAATTTTGCCACTGTAACCCTAAAATGAGAAGCTCTACTGCTAAGCAGATGTGATTTTCGTTATCAGCAGGTCAGATAACCTCTATGAGCAAGTTTTCAAAGAAATTCGGGTGATTTGATTTTTTCACGTTCTACGCCCTGAAACTCGCCGATGGGTTTTGGTCAAAATGTCGATGATCTTGGATTATAAGAAAACTTCGAAACAAAATTTCAAAGACATGCTGTATATCGGAAGATTCGCCTTGACGAGCTGAACACAATTCTGCTTTCGGATTTCGAAAATGTTCATCTTGAAGGAAGTTACGGCTGGTAGAACTTGGAACAGCTTAATTTTTCCAGAGTTTATCAGCTCTTCTATCTCCTTTAAAAGACAGTCTTCGGCTGCTGTTTAACGCAAAATAATCTACTGAAAGAGTACTATCGAAAGGTGCGCACGGCAGTCTCCTTTGTGTGATGCTCGTTGCGTTACACCCATGCGAAGAGGCGTTCGCATGCAAATTCAAGATTATTGAAAACAGGATATTGGAGACAACCTGTACAGCAAAAGATTTGCCTTGACGAGCTGAATACAATGCTGTTTTCGGATTTTGAATACACTCATTCGGAAAGAAGTTATGGCTCTGCGTAATTTGCGTGATTTACATGAATGTCGCGAACCTTCGCGAAATTCCCGGAATTCTGCGACATTCACGGAAATTTTGCACATTCTGTGAGCGGTATTGTAAGCTTGTTTACACATGTTTTATGAGTGAACTGCTATTTGCAAACCACTCTCCATTTTCACTAAATAGCCATGCAAGTTGCATCTCCGAACATCTGTAATTCAAATAAAACTGTTTTCGAACAATCAGCAATTTAGACTTTCCCTATTTTATGAAAAGTTCAACATGCACTTTTAAAAAATTGAAACGTGGGGATAACAGTGTAAGATCTCAATTCCCAAGTGCACAAGATGGCAGGGAGATTATAAGCAAAAATCAGTTAGATTTTACTGCTTAACAAAGTGTAAAAAGTAAAGCAAAGTTGTTGAAATTGTCCGCATTGCTCACACAAACTGTTAAGGGCAGTATCTCACCAATTGGAATCTCGGGATTTTTACAAATAACAAGTCTTCCCGATCTTGTTATCAAAAACCCTGTTTTTCGAAGCCCCCGTGAAAGTGAAGAGGACGAGCTTTCCTGCTTCACTCTACTCAGACATTCGTGGTTAACTCGCGCAGTAGATCTGCCCACAAAACGGGGTACCGCGAAAAAATGACTAGTGCTGCGGTAAGCTTGCTTTTGTCGTGACTTTCGGGCTAGCCGCGATAAAAATAAGGCGACCGAAATTCGTAACACCCGTCGCTACTTCCGATTGACTCGTGGTTTCAAATGTACGCAGCCAAATCGCAAATCGCGCGAATAAATTGCGCTCACTTTGTTGGCGTCGTTTTTCCTCTTCAGGCTGCATCTGACTGTTTTCATCGCATTTTCTTCTTATTGTGTCTTTGGCTAGTTCATACTGATTCCCATGCTGTGCTAATGATGTGCTTTTGTAATGTACTGTTTTCAGCACAACGCACAAGGACTGAACTAGTTCACCACTTTGCCGGATCTAGTAGTCAAGGATCTGCGCAAAGAACTCCCACCCCGCCTTTGATCAGCAAGCAAGCGCTCTCAATGAGGTTGCGTGAGTTTATACTTTTTTACGCATCATTCTTTGGTTTTCAAGCAGAGCGAGCAGCAATTCGATTCGAGCGTATAGGCATCCATCCTGAATTAGAACAAACTTGAAGCCCTCTTGTTTTTTCTGACAGTTCTCATCTTTACCATCTTAGTATAAATATTCCTCTCCAAGGGGACGGAGAAGTCATTCAGCGCGAGTCGAAATGTGTTCGGCGAGCCAGTTTAAGCCCAGTTTTCATGATATAGGAAAGGCCTTATCAAGTGGGACTTGAAAATTGGCTTAGTAAGCCTGGCTTGGACTGCATTGAAAACACCCTACATAAACGAAAAACGACCCGAAAAGACTTTTTTTACTCACGCAGACAAAGGATATGTTTACTCTGTAGCACTAGATTCCATCCGTCTAAGCACGGACGGAATGCGGGGCATATATATTCCAAATCGGCTTAAAACGTTAACTCCAAATATGCTGCTAGCTGCCAAGCATCATTCCGAAGCGGGTTATGGGCTTTTTCCTACGCAAAATTGGTATGCTCGTCGACTCACGGGCATCACGTCATCATCATTTATGCTGGTACACCTGCGTTAAGCTGTTTTAGTGAGAAAAGATCGGATTTGTACTATAACAAAAATGTTTTGTGCATTTGATAGTTAAAATGCTAGACACATACAAGAGCCTATATTTCGGTACCTCAGCACCTTTTTCTTGCAGATTTTTATCTACAGGCAGTTTTCTCATGTACAATAGTATGCCAATTTTGCGTAGGAAAAAGCCCATAACTTGCTTCGGAATGGTACGTGACAGCTAGGAATAGCATACTTGGAATCAGCGTTTGAAGCTGATTCAGAATATATATGCCTTTTATCAAAAATAGCTAAGTTAGTTAGCTTTCCTTATGAGAAAAAAGGCCCTATTATGATATGTGGATCGGTTTTCAAGGGAATATGCAGTTGCAGTAACGAAGAGTAAAGAACCCACTAACGTGACCAGCTTTCGTCCTTCTTTCATATTCACCCGCGGTTGGCCAAGACACAAAGCTGACACTCCAGAGAGTATGGTACCTGTAAAACCAATTTTCTATATGTTGCACAGCCCAAATTAGCCACACAGATTTGAAAGAGGATGGTGAATAATTCCTAGAAATTTGGAATGTTCATATTTTTGATCATATGCTAATGTTCCCCACTACTTGATGTGAAATTTTCAACGGATCCGGTGCATTTTTTGACGACTGTAATTGATGTCTTATATCGATAAAATTTACTTGAACTTTTCCACCGAAGACAACACAACCTTATCATTTTGTCAAGAAACTTGTGATTCGATGAAAGAACTTACCTGTTCCTGGAATAATAACATTCATCATCATACAAAAAAGGGCAACTGGAAGAGGTAGAAACGGGATTGCTTCATGCATCAATGTTAGGTCGTTTGTAGGAAGATTTACCTAAATGTACGCCTTAGACGACTAGACTTTTCATTGGTTGAATTACCTTGTCACTACTTTTTGCTTCTTTTTGGGTCTGAGCTTCTTCTTGTGCCGCTTGAACAATGCCGGTGATATTAAAAGTATCGACTGGCTGAAATTTACACTTTGTAGAGAATTACATCAGTTTGCGCAACAGAATTTGCAGCTGGTGGTTGATTTGATTTTAGCTAGTTTTCATACTATGCGACAATTACTAGGAATGACACCTGAGAAAAGCGGAGGAGTATTATCTTGAATTGGTTAGTGATTCTATTTCTGCAGAGGCGAAACACGAGTACACCAATTTCAACTGCATTTTCTCAAAAAGATTTCACAGCTGTTACAAGCTAGTATTCCATTGATAACAGCATATCATGGATAAATAAATAATCAATTGAATAATCAAATAATTAAATATATAATCATAAAGAAATAATAGCATGCAACTTTGATGATCAATCATTGTCTCTTTTAGAGTAATCCCTTGAATCCTCGCAGAACAACAAAAACCTAATGACGCAACTACGCTACGAATAAATCAGCTAATTTCGAGCCGAGCTCTAGACGGAAGTAACACACGTGAAATGCTGGAATCTAGTTCACAGAAAAAAATATTGAATGAAGTACATATTAGGGTAACAATTCTGAAAGTAAGCTGTTTGAAATTGACGTGACGCAAATGACGTGGTTTTCAAAGAAGACATAAAAAATTTTGAGGACTGGAACAGAATATGTGGCGTTCAACTAACCAAAACGTCACAAGCCTAAGGATGCTGTAAGTCAACGTCGTTGACTTACTGCATCCTAGGCGTATGCACGTACATCCCCGCTGGGGAGGGTAGGGTATCTGAAAGGGAATGCGTCATATTTCGCTATTCTAGATATCTTTCGTCTTCTTCCTCTATCTAGCTTAGGAAGGTTCTCGCTCACTGATACCTGCGCGTATATGCCAGGTTAGATTACTGCCATACAAAATTACATTTTTACTATTTTGTGTGATTCCCTGGGGTCCACAGGAGATCAACTCTCATATTCGAAGTTATTTTTCTTCCAGAAAACTCTATGTAAACGCTGTAAAATCCTGCTGAGGATATGCTGCGGCAGTGCTAAGCATGTTTTCGACAGAAGAAATGGAATCTGAAAATTGTGTACTTTTCGATAATCCTTAGTCGCGAGCAGTTGTTCATCGAAGTTTCGATATCCTGAAATTTCAATTATTCAAACTATAAACATGTTCAGCAGTGCGATATCGTATTCACACAACAATTTTACAACGACTTCATTGAGTTTATTGGAAGATAAATGATTTTGAAAATGACAGGTGATCCCAAGGGGATTCCCATAGGATCACACAAAATGAAATTGATCTTGTATGGCAGTATCCTGGCAACTATAATATTATGCGCAGGTATCAGGGTATGAGAACCTTCATAACATAGACAAAGAAAGGAGAAGAAAGATATTCAGAGAAGTAAGATATGACACATCCCCTCTCCTCCCAGCTGGGATGTAAGTGTGTATATTATATTATGGGCCTTGAAAAGCACGAAATGCAATATGTGATTCTATATCAGTCCTTTCTCTGAAGAATTTATCAGTAGTGAAGGTAGAGCGATGCGAAATAGTTTCGCATCGTCACAGAGTGAAAATCCTTTTTTGCAGAAGACAGGAAGGTTTTGTAAGTGCTTTAGAGGCAGTGTCCCGGCAGATTTTGCATTTCCATCTTTTTGCATGTTTTGGGCCTTTTCGACCCGTAGACCCCGAATTTGGGCTCTGAAACGGGTGAAAAGACCTTTTTCGGTGCGTTTACCCAAGTTCCAAAAGGCAGCTCAGACGAGAATATCAAAAGTTGGGAGGCCCTGGAATGAAGACTATGCTGCTAATTTTTTGCTTTTGGGTTGTTTCAGACTGCTGCACTGACCGCAGCAAGCTGCAGCAGACTGCAGCTGACCGCACTGACCGCGGGGCCGCACAGATCGCTGCATCCTTTGTTGAAGGTGGAGAAAATGAATATTTGTAGCTCAAACATTCTCTTAACAATATATGCCCCAATAGACAACACGAACGGGAGTAAAATAGGTATATGCAATGACAAAAGAAATGAGAACAAATATGAGCATATCAAGAAAAACAATCGCCAAAAGTTGATTGAGAAAAGTAAGTCAGAACCTAGGAACTTTCTAGCGTAAGTCACGTTGTTTTGATGTATTCGCAACTGTCCTCTCTTTTATGAAAGGATGCAACGATTGTGCGGCCGTTGCGGTCAGTGCGGTCAGCTGCAGTTCGCTGCAGTCTGCTGCGGTCTGCTGCAGTCAGTGCGGCAGTATGAAACAACCTTTTGATGGCATGCAAAATGCGGGAGAGCGGTTGTGGGGTTCCGCGCCGAACTATTTTCTCTGCCCAGAAGGAACATCAACAAGCCGAAGTGCACCTGGAGGAGTGGGATGACCATGAACCCCACCATAGCATTCCTCCAGGGCGCATCTGCCGGGACCAGGGTCAAGCGTGTTGATGCGATCCGGGACCCTCATTTACGACCCCCCCCCCTTGAAGATACCCATCCGTACGACCCCCCCCCCCCTTCCCCCCTCCCCCACCCTCCCTCCTTGTCCCCCTTACCTCCCCTGCCCACATTCCTCGCGGTGACTTGCATAAACGAACGTCAATCTCAAAAAACACCCGCGTGAGAACTTCAGTGAGGTTTCGGAAGCAGAATTTCTAGGCCAATGGGTGAGTCCAGCATTTGTAGCACACATACACACCTTCAATAATGTTTGAAAATCTGCAAGTTTTTTTTTGAATTTTCAAGCATACTTCGGACCAGCAAATTCGATTCCCGTAGGCAACACAAATTTTTGCACGGAGAAAAAAATGACTTTCTTGAACAACAAAAGATGTTTCCGATTAAGAAGCTTACTTCCTACCTCATCCACAGTTTTTCCCGCGAAAAAAACCGCTTGAGCGCCGTCCAGAACGACGTAAAAATGTGCATGAGCACAGTATGAAAATTCGTAACTAAGGCCAGGAAGAGACTGAGAGGCTACAAAGCACAGATTCTGTAGCATAGTGCCCAGACTATCCATAGAAAAAGTTTTAGTTCTTGAGGAGCGGTAAGCTCGAAAAAATTTAGATGTGACTCTCGCAAATTTAGATGCGATCCTAAAAAGCAAAAACTGGGATTTTTGAGCTTAAAATTTTGTAACTTACCAGAGAAGTTATAAAACAGCCTGCAATTTTTATGAGGGAAAGTAGGAGGATGGCCTCATATTACAGGCCAACAAGCTTCAATAGCTCCGAAGAAATTTAGATGCGACCCAGATACGACCCCCCTCTCCTGACTTTTTGCTACCATACATAAAATCATAAGGAAATCCACAGTTGATAAAATTACACCAAATTTTGCACTGATATAGCGGAGCATCTCAAAAGTACAGATAAATCATATGAGCCCGTAAAAAACATTACAAAAAGATTTAGAATTTTATGATGGTCATAGCTGGTGAAGATATTCGCTTTTGTCGAGTGTGTAAGACTTCAGGAGGGCTTCAGAAGCAAGATTTTTGGGACAATCGGTATATTTAGCATTTTTATCAAATCATACATCCTTCAAAAAGTATTTTGAGCTCTTGTAAATGCTTTTTCTTGAGAATTTCTACAGATTTTTTATCTTTTTCATTCTGATTTCCACTTTTTTATAGATTTATTGTAAAGAACATGATTAATTATCTGCTTTTTGATTCCCTTTTGAGCTTAGGGTTTTAGCCTAACTACCTTCTCTTACTACCCCCCCCCCCCCCAACTTGGTACCCTCTTTACGACCCCCTGTTGCGACAGTCGCATCACAAGCTTGACCCTGGCCGGGACACTGGAGGAACGGAACTTAGGTCCCCTGACAGCCAACTGAGATGTAATTTCGGAGGTCATGAGTTGTCAATAACGATAATTAACACATCTGTGGAGCGCATACTAGGCCCCGCCTCTATCCAGATACCTTTCGCAACTTAGCAGAGGTCCACCGGGACGCGCCTCGTGATAATGAAACGAGGATTTCAAACGAAATTGAAACAAAGTTCAGCAACGAAATTTCGCCAAACCAAGTGAAAACTTGGATTTAGGGGTTTTCAAGTACGCTCTTTTCAAATATGGAAATCTCGTCTGCCTCAAAGCTCACCACGGACCGCTTACTAAGAATGAAACAGGGAATTTCATACAAATTGCCTTTGAAAATTCAGTATTGAAGTTTCACCAAACAAAGTGAAAACTTGGACTTAAAGGTTTTCAAGTACGCTCTTTCCAAATATGTAGAGAATTTTTTCATAAGAACATGTACAAGGTTTGTAAAAAAAATTCAATTTTTTGTATCAAATTTCAGCTAATTCAAAAAAAAAACGTATCGTAGATATCAGAGAATTTCATCGTATTCGCTAGTGGAATTATTTTGATGCTTTACCGTTCCGAGTACCAAAATTTTTACAGTAGCAAATTCCATGAAAAGTTTCCATGAAAGTTTAAACAATTATATCTTTCCAGTGAAATTTTAGAAACAGAGGTAATAGAAAATTATTGCAGCAAGATGTCAAAATTCGTATCGGAGCGAGAAGAATTTTGACATCTTGCTTGCAATAATTTTCTATTACCTCTGTTTCTAAAAATTCACTGGAAACGATATAATTGTTTAAACCTTTCATGGAAACCTTTTCATGGAATTTGCTACCTGTAAAAATTTTGGTCCTCGGAACGGTTTGATCCCAAATAAACTCCGTTCACAGATGCACTGCATTGAAATAGAATCTGTTTGTGTTTTTTTTGAATTAGTTGAAATTTGATACAAAAAAATTTAATTTTTTTCACAAACTTTATACATGTTCTTATAAAAAAATTCTTTGCATATTTGGAAAGAGCGTACTTGAAAACCCCTACGTCCAAGTTTTCATTTTGTTTGGTGAAACTTCAGTACTGAATTTTCAAATGCAATTTGTATGAAATTCCCTGTTTCATTGTTAGTAAGCGGTCCGTGGTGAGCTTTGAGGCAGACGAGATTTCCATATTTGAAAAGAGCGTACTTGAAAACCCCTAAATCCAAGTTTTCACTTTGTTTGGCGAAATTTCGATACTGAACTTTGCATTTCAATTTCGTTTGAAATCCCCGTTTCATTATCACGGGGCGCGTCTTGGTGGACCTCTGCTAGGTTGCGAAAGGTATCTGGATAGAGGCGGGGCCTAGCATGCGCTCCACAGATGTGTTAATTATCGTTATTGACAACTCATGACCTCCGAAATTACATCTCAGTTGGCTGTCAGGGGACCTAAGTTCCCTCACCCGGGACACTGCCTTCAAGAAGAAGAAATGGACGAAGGACGAAATGGACGATAAGAGTAAGAAACATGATATAATCATTACTGGAGAAGGATATGGATATTTTTAGGTTGTCACAATCAGATTTTTCAATAATAATTTTGTTCATGGCAGAACGAACAAATCAAATCATCAGGGTAGTTTGAAACTTACGCTGGGAACCACCAAAATTCCTTCACTTCTTCCATATTCGATAATGCGAGGCAAACATTTCTGCACCAACTTCCATCCTCTGACTTTTTCGGCTAAATTAATCACATCACATTTATAATTACTGTGCTAGCGCAATGATAAAACTGTGTTGACATTTTAAATAAAAACTACCTTGCAAGGACAACATCGCAGCAATATGCTCTAAGGAGTAGGCGCTGGTGAAACAATAGATGCAAGGTTGTATCGATGTGGAAATAATGGATGTACTCCAAGGAAACTAGAAGGGAAGCCGGCCATTATTGACACCTGCTCGTTCGTAGGCTCTATGGGCCGTTTAACCCAGCAACTCGAAGTTTACAAGTTTTTTTTTATAATGGAGCTGGAACTGCTTCTCGCTTACACCCCACCCACTAGCGATGCAGTTCCTTCTAACTGACCTAGATGAGCTGCTATCTAGGTAAAACTATCAAGACAGATCTCGTAGAACGATGGAAAAGTAAAAAAAATTGGAAGAAGATGGCCTTTGTTTGAAGCCTCTAAAAGAAGAGAAATCTGGACTTTTTGGACCCAAATAGGCCGTCATTAAGCATTCACTTTAAAGTCTGTAATATCACTTAAAAGAGAAAGAGACCATGGTGATACTTTGATTAGTGAACACATGAAAAAATTTTGACGTTACACTGCTACCATATCTATTAAAATGGAATAGAAAGAGTTGATATCCGAGTACTAAGCCATATTATCCTCTTAATTGATAGCACATAGTTTGTATTCCATTGTGGATGATGCAAGCTTGATTTTTTTTAGCTAGCTACAGTAAACGTAGCCTTCAGATACAGAGTTTCATTTGCGTAACTCTGAGTTGCTCTCAGAAATTAGTAGAGCGCCGCTAGCTAGCCCTGAAAATCTGTGGAAATTTTTAGATAGATAGATTACCGTAGATTACCGTGTCAGGCACTAATCTTGCATGGAATTTCAAAAACAAAAATCGTGAAGAACGGCATTGTGCATAGAAAAACTCCGTGACACTGCATTTTTTCCACAGAAAGAAAGTTTGAATCTAGAAGAGTTTATTTAGTGCTAGCTTAGTAGACTGTGACTTTCTTGATAACAGCTATTCAAACAGCGTTTTGATTCAAAAAAAATGTAATGAAGAAATTTTGCCCGCAGAAGAGCATTTTTCATATTCAATGTTTTTCGCATTTCCATGTGTTACTGCCATGAAAGGAAATTTATTACAGGTTTTTTTGGGCTCGCTAACGACCTCTGCAATTTCCTTACATCAAACTTGTACTCATTTTGAAATTCCATTTCTGAAGGCTTAGTTTCCGGTAGCTAGCTCGAAAATTACGCATGAGCATCCATTTTTCAAGACACAAACTTTTGAATCTATTTGGGAATTGGCTAATTTCTCGGATTACGCAAGTTCAAGCTTTCGTGAAACTTAACATTGTCATAGTTGGACGGAAAACGTTAATGATGACCAGTTGAGATGAAGTTTTTCATTTCACAACTATGTAAGCAATAGGCGTACTTTGTGAATGGGGGAAAATATATTGATACCAGCCGCTCTCTGCCGCTACGCGGCAGATTCGGCTGGTACTCGGCAGCTTCGCTGCCTCGTAAATCTTTCATTTCACTCCATAATGCAGAAATGTGAAAATTTGCTCTTCTGCACGGTTATTTTGATTTATAACCTGCGCAGGAGGAAAAACTGAGGACATAATTTCGGCTTTGTCAGTTTTGAATCAACATTCTAAGCAACGGATATACGCAATGCAAAAAAACACCAATAGGTCGATAGGAGCAACCTATGTGTCCCGAATAAAATGGCTTATTACTGGCCCATTAATCCTTCTATCCTTTTCAAGCAAACGTAAAGAGTTTTCCAAGTAAAAATAGCAAAAAATCAATAAATCGATAGAGGCAATGGGTGGGTCCCGAACAAAATGGCGTATTAACACATGCCCCGCCCCATGCATTGCGTATGCCAATTTTGGCTTAGATTCCGTTAATCCTTCTATCCTTTTTTGGCGAGGATACGAAAAGTGGTTTATCCAAATATTATAGAAGTATTGATATACCACTAATACAACTACCACCAACCTTAAAAGCTCACCTTTTTCCCCTTGATATCATCAATTTTGGGTGGGTTCCGAATAAAAGGCTTACTAACACATGCCCCACCCCATACATTCCGTATGCCAAATTTGGCTCAAATTCTGTTACTCCTTCTATCCTTTTTGGGCGAAGATTCGAAAAGTGGCTTATTCAAATATTATTATACAGGCTGTCCCAAAAAATGTGAACACTGTTTGATCGTTGATAACTTTGTTGCTTTCATGCCTTTCGCCGAGCTTCAGGCAGCATTCTGTAGAGAGAGGTTGTTCAACTTAGATTTACAGTATGAAGCAAAACTCCGATCTCCCTTCCTTACTGTAGGATTACGGTATGAACTTCTAACATGTGGATCCTTTGTGAAATATGCCATTTGACAAAAAAATTTTCAAAAAGTCTGAAAAATCGTGTACTAGGGTTTTCGCACACGCTGATTCCACTACACAACTTTTCACAAGTGTTTTTAGCCTTTTGACGGTGTAATCACATTTCTGACAAGTGCTGGAAATTCTGTTATTACGGTTCACCTGGGATAACTTTGGAAAGAAGCATCACAGGAAAGTGGAAATTTCATATTCGAAATCAGCGGCTTTCGCTAACATAGTATGAGAGTTTCTGGCTTGTTTGGTTTTGTTCCGAGGCAGAGTATGGCCTCTAATTGCCTAAAATCCTTGTCGAACTTCCTACGGTAATCACAGTAACGAAGAAAGATCGAAGATTCGTTTCATACTGAAAATCTAAGCTAAACCTCGTTCTACAAGATAGCACTTCAAGCTCGGCGAAAGACATGAAAGTAAGAGAGTTATTAACGAGCAAACAGTGTTCACATTTTTTTGGGACACCTTGTATAAGTAGTGATATGGTCATACGAAATGAGAAAGACGGAATTTGAATCCCCAAGGTCTGCCTCCATAGATCTGACTATTTTACTCCCGGTCATAGCCATGATTTCAGTAGGTACAGAATACGCAGAATACTCGGAAACTAATACTCCCGTCGTTTCTTAAAACTGGATCTTGGCATACGTGGACTACTGCTTGAAATTTTCAAAGCCAAGAAAGCAGCCTCATGATTCGATATTCAGGAGAAAACTATAAGGTTGAAACGAAAGTTCTACGCGTTTTCAAAAAAATTAAACTTTTTAAACTTTGAAACAAAGTCCGGATTCAAAAAAATGAGTGTTTGCGCTCTACGTTGCAATTTTTTGCAGCTGGCCTTTGAGAACAATCCAGGGATTGCACTCAATTTTCGATTTTGAGGTTAGTCCCGAAACTAGAGTGCTAGCTAGCCCAAGAACATTTGTATTCTTACATAGCAGTAAACCATACATGACTGTGGCAGGTTTTAGTCTCTCATAGACATGCAATAACATTTTTTTGAAAATAAGCTATACTACTGCTATACTTTTCTTATTGCTGCGTTGTCTTCACAAAAACACGTCATTCCAGAATTTGAGCTAATTGCTTGACCAGAACATTGTGGCTATTTTAGCGGTACCAGAATGAGTTTTGTTTGAAATTTACGGTACGCGGATTTTTTTGTAAAATGACATATTACAAACTTGTTATTTCCGTATTTTTATGCAGGATCAAATTCTGAAACGGGTGTGTGTGGAATACTACTATGAAAATGGTTTTCTATGGCTAGCCAATGATGTTGCTAAATGGGAATTGCAAATACACAAATCTTCTTTTATAAATGAGATGAAAAAGGATTTTGGCCACGATTCGAAAAGCTATTGACACGCAACCTTTTGTGCGAACCTGATATAATCCGCGTTTGTGTTTTCAAAAAATGACAGGTCGAAACCGAAGTCCACTGTTTCTGGCCTTATCCACTCAAACTGTGAAGCAATAATGGCACTAAGAGAGTTGATCATCTAACAAGAGCCGGGCAAACATTCATTTCATCGCCTCGCGATTCTCCCAGCGTTACAGGTGTTACCAGTTCACTGCATACTGATCATCTTGCATTTCGGTTATGATGGCTTTTCCGACAAGATTACTTGCGACTATACCACAGAATACAAGATGATCAACATGCAGTGAACTGGTAACCGCTGTCTTGTTAGAAGAATAGCGAGATGAAATCGCGTGGATATATGCATCGACGATACATCATCAATTTGCCCGGCCCTTGAAGGATTGCGACTGCGAGCTTCCCACACCTACATGGCCTTCCGAATGCGCTAGTCCAGTGTTGTGCTTGAAAAGCCAAAAAATGCTTTTACGGGATTTTTCTACCCTGGAGATAACCTGAGGGGATGGGCGAGGGCTTCCCGCCATTAACAGCGACTGGCTGCAGAGACTAACTCCAGCCATTTTGGCGGTAATTGGCTGGTTGGCTCAGCCATATGCGCGATGTTGGCGGGAATGTGTCGCCCATGCTCTCAGGCTATCTCCAGAGTAGAAAAACGCCGTAGAAAGCACCTTTTCGACATTTCAATACAACAACACTGGACTCAGCGCATCCAGAAGGTCATGTAGATGTGCAAAGCTCGCAGTCGCAATTTTCCCGAGCCACTGAGTTCATGGCAGGTGAACAACATGCACATCTGCGTACTGTAGGTAACCTTGGCGAGAGTCAAAAGAGCGTCGATCTCAAAATAAGCCTTTGAATAGATAAGAAGGTGAAGGGCAGATTTTACATAAGTATATATAACTGTCGATTGAATTGAAGTAAGCTGCGAAAGTGATCTCATCAGACTGATTTTTTGACTTCACTGACCTGAAGCTGGCACGAAAAGATTCGCTAGAGTAGCCATGTGCTTCGGCATGCACGATAGGAGGTGGGTGACTGACTATGCATCGTTTTGTTTCGACACTAAATGACTACCTGCACGACGCCAGTGCCCTACAATTAAGGCGCCAAACCGCGTAAAAAAACAAAATTTTCTGAGCGAAATCTCAACAGAACATAGCATACATGTAGTAATAGTCGCGCTCAGACTGACGCAGTCCATCGTACAATACCACCCGTAATTTGTGAAAAAAAATGGCGGCGGCACTTAACTTACGCGGCGCCGCCGAAGTTAGGTGACTTTTGCCGCGTCGCGCGACAAAAGTCGGC